TCCGAACGTCCCTCCGCGCGCCGCCCCTCCCCTCGTTCGCTTTCCGCCGCCAGCGTATCAACCACTCGCATCCGTTCCTTCCCTTCAGCCACAGCGCCTGGCCTGACGGCCACCGCAGCAGCAGCAGCCAGCGCCATGGCCCACGTCGCCGAGCAGTTAAAGGACCGCGGCAACCAGCACTTCAAGAACGGCGACTACGTCAGCGCCGAGTCTCTGTACACCCAGGCTATCCAGCGCAACCCGTCCAACCCGCTCATTTTCACCAACCGTGCAAATGCTCGCATGAAGCTCGGCCACTATGAGGACGCCATCGACGACTGCCTGAAGAGCATAGAGCTCACGAAGAGCAATATGAAGGCGTATACTTTTCTGGGTACGTAGGCGCGTGTGACTGACCGAGCGTGGAGAGCCTCGCGACGCTGCGCAAGTACACATGGCCGGGTTGGCACCACGGCATGCGCTGTAAACATGCGATCTCACGTCAAACTTGAGCCGGACGTGCGGCGGGTATGCCGGCACGTGTTTCCCTCGATGCGGCTACTACCGCGCATTATTTCAGGCCCGCGGAGCATAGTCAGGCGGAGACGTTTTGGCTAACGGCTTGTAGCGAAGTCGCAACTTGCCCTGAATCACCCGAACGAAGCGCTTTCCTCCGCCCTGGTCGCCTACGATCTTTGCATAAAGTCGACGACGCCGACACGCGATGCCCAGACCATCTCGGCGCTGGTGTTGCAGTGCAAGAAGAGCAAGTGGGAGGGCAGGGAGAGGGAACGGCTGAGGAGGAAGAATCCGTTGCTGGCGGAGCTGGAGGATAGGATTGAGGCCTCGGCAAACCAGGAGCAGGTCATCATAAGTGATAAGGCGAGCAGGGGTGAGCTGGGTGCTGTGGCGGCGGTTGAGGAGCGTACCATCCTTGAGAGGACCACGCAGCAGAAGATTGAGGATCTCAGGTCCATCTTTGCCATTGCAGACCCGAACAACATGGCCAAGCGGGAAGTACCGGACCACCTCATTGACAACATTTCGTTTGAGATTATGCATGATCGTGAGTACTATGTATACGGTCGTTGTCGAATGTGCTAATGGACGGCCAGCTGTCATTACGAAGAACGGCCATTCCTATGAGAGGGCGACTCTCATCGAGCATCTGAAGCGCAGCCCGACTGACCCTTTGACTCGCGAGCCATTGAAGATTGAAGACTTGCGGCCTAACATCGCATTGCGGGAAGCATGCAGCGAGTTCTTCGACAAGAATTCCGGTTGGGTCTACGATTGGTGATGGCCTGGTGTTGTTCGTCTGCCTTGGGAAGCAGATGCATTCTACTGGCGTTTTTCTTCCGAACTACTCCCTTCGTGGAGCTGTTAGTGGACGTTTCCCGCGGCGGATACCCTTGTACTTCTCACTCACGCGTCCTACGGCCAGTTTTTCGAAGTATTCCGTTTTGTAATCAACACTTCTTGGTCACAATCAGCCTAATCAATGCAGCCGGCACACGGTTTCCTCATGCCCAGTCAGGACTCGTGATCTGTATGTTCTTGGGGAACACAACGGGCATGGCAGAAGCCGAGAAAAGGCGAAGCTCGAATTCAATTGATGTCTTTGACTTTTTCTTCTCGGTGCTTCTCTTCTCACGGCCAGTGCCTTGAATGAATTGCAGTAGCATCGACAATGTGAGATCATCAGGCATAGAGCACATCACCGCAGTGCAGTCGATCTACTTCCCGTACCGGCGTGTGGAGCGTAGGCCTTGGAGCATCTGGCTGAGTTCGGAGTCAACGCTCGGGCCCTCGGGTGCGGTTAGTCAGCAGCATAAGCGAAACGCCGTCTGCGCAACCCACAACCTCGATTTTCCTCGCAAAGCGACTTGACGTCTACGAAGACGACACACCGACGACCGACGCCCGGAAACAGCCAAGGTTCGTGGCGACACCCCGCGAGACGATGCAACTGAGCGAATGCGCATTGTACACGGCTTCGTCAAAATCACATCGGTCGGATCCAGTTTCGGGGCATCTGGGCTAACAACTTCACCGAACAGATGGGTGCGCTTAAGTACGTTGAGGAACTTCAGAAGAAGAAGCAGTCCGATGTGCTGCGCTTCCTGCTCCGCGTTCGCTGCTGGGAGGTATGAAGAGCTTCCTTCGCCACGCCTCGCTTTCGCACACCGTGAGCGAGGACGAGCGAAAATCCTGGTGTTACTCGTTGAACTTTGCTGAGAGTGCATCAATTTAGCTCCGCCAGCTGAACGTCATCCACCGCGCCTCGCGCCCGTCGCGTCCCGACAAGGCTCGCCGTCTTGGATACAAGGCCAAGCAGGGCTATGTCATCTACCGCGTCCGCGTCCGCCGCGGTGGCCGCAAGAGGCCGGTGCCCAAGGGTGCCACCTACGGTACGTCCTCATTTGTGGAGAGAAGACAGTTTCCAGGGCAATCGAATTGGAGATCTTGGGACTTTGAACAGTTTTGCTGATTTGCTCGGATGAACAGGCAAGCCTACCAACCAGGGTGTCAACCAGCTGAAGTACCAGCGCTCCCTCCGTTCCACCGCTGAGGAGCGCGTCGGTCGCCGCTGCGCCAACCTGCGCGTCCTCAACTCCTACTGGATCAACCAGGACTCGACCTACAAGTACTACGAGGTCATCCTCGTTGACCCCCAGCACAAGGCCATCCGTCGCGACGCTCGCATCAACTGGATCGTCAAGCCCGTCCACAAGGTACGTTTGAGCAATGGATTGATGAGGAGTGACTGTGGTTCTGACTGCTTTTGCAGCACCGCGAGGCTCGTGGTCTCACCGCTACCGGCAAGAAGAGCCGTGGTATCAACAAGGGCCACAAGTTCAACAAGACCACCGCTGGCAGGCGCAAGACCTGGAAGCGCCACAACACCCTGTCCCTCTGGCGCTACAGGTAAATGTCGCGTCGCTGAGGCAGGAGTTACGGGGATGGATACTAGGGCTATTTCGAAAAAGCGTCTTCACTATCATCGGCGGATTTCTCGGGTATGGATCGGCTGGTTACCGCTGCTTGCGCTCGTCGTCGGCTCGGTGGTTGTCCATCAGGTAGAAATGAATGGACGTTTCCATCACCGGATCGCATTGACGGCGAGAAAATTTAATGACTTGATACCACTTGCAACCGGAACTGGCTCATTGGCACTCATGGTTTATCTAGGGGACTTGAAACCGTTTCGCAGTCTTAAATTTGCTTGCTTAACGCTGGCCGACCCTTGAAGTTTTTGCCGATGTGACTTCCTCGATTTCAACTACGTTCAGCCCATTCACATCTACGTAACGTTTTCCTATGTACGGGGTTTTCAATGCAGAGGGCCCGAGCATTTGACTAAATGGTATATCTACCAAAAGCTCTGATTCATCTTGTCTCTACTAATATAATACGTGATTGTCAGTGGGTGGCCAATAGCTATTATAGATATACCTCTATAGCCATAGTTCCTGCCATTACCCCAACCGCATAGGCATCGGTTACCCTATTAGTTCTAATGGTGTCACCTTTGAAGAGCTGTGTCGCAGGGTAAAAGCTTCTACCGTCTCATGATCCATCTGGATCTACATAACAACGACAACTACAGCCCAATCCTAATATCATAGTTATGGTCCATCACTTCCATTGGTTCGTGCTAATCCACCCCCAAAAATGTGAAGAACTCTGGTATCCTGGATGAACGTAAAAATGCCCACCGGCAGTCAACGCCTAATTATCTTTCTGATAGCAATGATGTGGGACGCTTTTCCATCTCTGCAGAACATTTAAAAAAACAAAACGTGATGAGAACGCCGTTGCTCACCAACCACCCATTCCAGCCTGATCCCTTTTGCTCCAAGCCATTCAGTCGTACACGTATGAAGCAATCCTCTCTCATCCTCGGACAAGGAGGATCATTTAGTGCGCCTTGCCAGCCTTTGCAAGCCATAGGCCCACGCTCTCCAGAGCACGGTCCCCGCCCCAGACGCCCTCTTTGCCACCACGCCTGAATTCCTCGCTAGAAACGTCCTCGCCTCCACCACGTGTGGCCTCACCGAGAATGACGTCGAGGTCGCGCTGCTGGGAGCTGATCCAGCGCTTGACGAAGTTGACCGGGTCTGTGCTGAAAGCGGTGTAGAAGGCGTGTTTTGCCTTGGAGTGTTGAATTGCTTGCACTGCTAGTGCCAACGACTCATCCAACGACGCAATTTGGTTGAGCATTTGCGGGTTCGTGGTGATACGGCCCATGGCGATGCGGAGTGGATCGTCGAGCGGGACGAGAACATCATAGATGGTCGGTTGCGAGGCAGTCGTGCCATCGTCGGGAGCAATGTAGAACTTGTCGACGCGGATGGTATAAGGCAGTTGATAAGGAGGGAGTGGGGAGAGATGGGCGATGATTAATTGGGGGATCTGCGGGAATGGCACGAAATCCCTGTTGTCAAAGAGCTGTTTTCTGTCAGTTGCCAAAGAGAATCCCCCTACAATATTTGAAGCAACATACCGCCTTCAGCTGAGCATCGCAACGGATCTTGCGGCTGTCCTCATCCTCCTGTAGGCTGTTTGCCTTGACATATATCCAAATACCCATGAGAATACCGCCACGGTCATCCTCCTCGGTGCCTAGCAGCTCGGCTAGAGGCGGGCTGAGCTTGAAGCGCTCAGGACTCTCGTCGCGGAAGAGGTTGACGGTGACATTGATGTTCTCATCGCTCTTGCGCTCGAACTCTAGCGTGTCGAAGTTTGCGGCCGAGTCGTTGGCACTGGCCGAGTTTTCGGGCTTCTTCCACTCGATTGACGTGTATCCGTCCGGTTGGAGAGACTGCGAGCGGTCGAAGTTGACGGTGATCTGCTTGAAGAAATGCGACAGCTTGGTGCGTTGGTTGCCCGCGGGCTTCCCTGGCTTGGCCTTCTTCGCCGCATCACCAGCATCCTGCTCCATGGCGTCCGCGTCCTTCTGCTCTTCGGCCTGCTCATTTTCTGCCTCCGAGTCCTCGTCGTCGCCGAGCAGGCGTCCCTCAATCTTGACGCGGTAGGTGGCCTGGCTCTCGCTGCCGAAATCGAAAGCGTCGGGATCCATGCTCGTGTTCTGCCAGGGCTGGTTGTCGGCGGTATTGCTGATCCAGACGCGCATGGTGCGGTAGCGAGTGAAGTTGCGGGCACTGCTTTCGTTGATGTCGAGGCGCTTGCGCATCATGACGGCGTCAAGCTTGCGCTCAGCCTCGCGCAGCTGGCGGTAACGCTGGACGCCATCGCCGACAACCAGGCCCTCAATGCCATCGGGAATGTTCTTGTCGGTGGGCTTGCGCGACTGGCGCTTGGCCAACTCGCGCTTCTGCATCTCAGCCTGCTGCTGGGCCTGCAGCTGCTGAGGCGTCATGGGCTGCGGGTGGGCGGCCGACACCATGGGGCCTACAGCACCGCGCATGGTGGCGCTCAGGTCAGTAAAGTGGATCATGAGGCGGTTGACGGCGGAGGGCTGCTGGCGGGACATTGGGGCAGGGAGCGCGCAGCCTTGTGCTTAGGCTAGCAAGGCGCGTGTTTGGCAGCGACCTTACCTGGACCACGTCTCTGCACAGCGGCGTGCGGCGACGCTCGCTGGCCAGCCTGCGGCGCGTAGTTCCGGTACTGAGCCTGCATCATTGGCACGAGGCAGCAGCAGGCAGTGGATAGGCGATGGCAGAGAGCGGCTCGACGACGGAGGTGTGGAGTGGAGGCGGGAGTGTGCGGCGCGCTGATGCAGAAGCACTGGGGCGACGCGTTCCGACAAGGGCGATGCGATGCTTTTTCATTCGCTGCACCGACTAGGGGGCGGGGTCGCGTGCAAGACCACCGCGCCGCACTACTTCGTACCTACTGCGCAGCGTTTCCCCAGACTGCCGTCTTTGCGCGGCCAGCGGGCGGTTTCTGGCTGTTCTGTTGCGGCCAGCGCGGTTGCTGATGCGTGCCGAACAATCGATGACACGCTTCCAGTCTCGGCCCAGCCATGTCAAACTGCTGTCTGCTCCTCCACTTTATCTTCCGTCCCGCGATAAGTAGTCCCCGGAGCGCCCGTTCTTGGTCTTCTTGTGCCTTTCGTCGATTTTTCCCTTGCCTGCTTCTACTCGCTGCATGCGCTTTAGCGCTCCTCGATACCCTTTCGTCTTCTCGCAAAACGCCGCCTAGACGGCCTTTCTCCGTACATAATTCCCCAGCCTCGTCGCCATCGTCACCGCCCAACGCCATGGCCGGAGCCTACCTCGCCTCGCTCGGCATCGATCTCGATGCTGAGATGGCCAAGATCCAATTCGGCCAAGAGAAGCCTACCGCCCACGCCATTGCCGGCACGGATGCGACGGCACCGTCTTCAAAAACTCACCAGCCGCCGCCGCGCTACTCAGACGTCTTCGCCCCTAAGACTGTCTCAAGGATCACTGCTGCCCGCCTTGCAGGCCAGCCGACCTCAGATCTGTGGGATATTAGCATCGCAGATGGCCGCATTTCATCTATAGAGAAGCACGACGCGCATGCTCCCCGTCTCGGCCATGTGCCCAGCGTGCTGCATGCGCACGAGCGCCTGATCGCCCCCTCTCTTTGTCACGCTCACATTCACCTGGACAAGTGCTTCCTTCTGCAAGATCCCAAATACAGCGACCTTGAGATCGTCGAGGGAAACTTTCAAGAAGCCATGGACCTCACCAGCCAGGCCAAGTCGCGCTTCGAGGAAGAGGACCTCCTCCGCCGCGGACGGCAGCTGATCCGGGAGAGCATACAGCACGGAGTTACCGCAATGCGTGCCTTCGTCGAGGTTGACGCCGATGTCGAGTTCAGATGCCTCAATGCTGGGTTGCGGCTGAAGGAGGAGTTTGCCGACAAGTGCGACGTGCAGATCTGCGCCTTTGCCCAGTTGCCGCTGTTCTCTGGGCTTGACGGTGGAGAGGTCGTCCGTAAATTGATGGCCGCTGCCGCCAAGACGCATGGGGTGGACGTGCTGGGAAGCACGCCCTATGTCGAGTCCGACGAGATCAAGATGAAAATGAACGTTCGCTGGATCAGCTCTCTTGCTCTCGCCCAGGACAAGTTCTTGGACTTCCATATGGACTACAACCTTGACAGATCCACGAAGCCTTTCATCTGGGCCGCTTTGGAGCTTCTCAAAGAAAGGTGCTGGGAAAGCAGGAATGGAAAACTCATCACTATGGGCCATTGCACCCGCCTCACGTACTTCCAGCCGGACGACTGGAGGAAGCTGAAAGAGGCCATAGGCAACCTGCCTGTGTCTTTCGTGGGTCTTCCAACAAGTGACCTTTTTATGATGAGAACCGAGGAGAATGTACGAGGCACTCTCAACGTGCCAAAGATGATCCGGGAGCACGGCTTGCAAGCCGCTATCGCTGTCAACAACGTCGGCAACGCCTTCACGCCACAAGGGAACTGCGACCCGCTTGCAGTTGCCAGCATGGGTGTTGGTGTTTACCAGGCTGCGACTAAGAAGGATGCAGAAGTCTTATATGTAGGTCTCATGCCGGTATCTTTTCCCGTTTGCTACGCGCTAACTATCTGTAGGGATGTGTCTCGAACAGAGCGAAAGCAGTCATCGGGCTAGAGGCTTCATCCCTGTCATTGAAACCGGGCGATCCTGCTGACTTGGTCATTTTCGACGGCACTGATGCTGGGTGGAGAAGCAGGAGGAGCGTGATGGATGCAGTGTACGATCCTGGAAACATAAGGACTACGATAAAGGGTGGGCGCATAACGACTGATTGAGAAAAGGAAATACCTCGATACTCTCGCATCTTTACTATGAGTCCGGGAATATCAGTTTCCTTACGTCCTTTCTCTTACAACAATATTCCCGATTCATCCGTGATACCTACCTCATTTGTCCGGACCAACTCCCGTCTACATACTCACCTTGCGGAAAAGCGAATCTTTGATTCTGTTTGTGTTGTCCTTCCAAGTAAAGCTATCGAAACAGCCGCCATTCCGTTCCGTATCTCTTTACAATCATTTACCTGCCCGTGATAATGGTAATGGTCGTTCTGGCCCGTATTGAGCGACCATTGGATCTTCCGGCAACCCAGATTCGCGGTGGACAATGCATGAGACAAAGCTGGAGATGGGCCAAGGGTTGTGTGCCGCTGGTGATGACGAACCACAAGGACTTCCAATACCAGTAGTCGGGCCTTCAGCGGACGCTGATTGCCAGAGAAAAAAAAAAGGTCATCTAGTACGTAGCGACTGTGCAGTGGTGAGACCAAATAAAACACGGATACCCACAGATCAGCACTGGCACTGCCTTGGCAGAGAGGATCTGCTCTTGTACACGCAACAGAAGCTACATACCGCCGATATCCTTGAATCTCGACCGCGGTGACGAGGCAAATACCGGGCGATAATGGTGTCACAACGGCACCTCCCCCGCGGGCAAGGCAGACTATCGACATGGGGCCGGCAGCCAGGCGATTGGCGCCGATAAGGCTCCCAAAAATGGAGCGCGATGATGCTCGCCCGTAGCGTTCCGGATCCGCGCGAAGCCGACGGGGCGGAACCAGCCACACTGGGCAAAGCGCAGGAAAACTCCCCTGCGATGGTGACGTGGGTTCGAGGCAGGCGTCGAAGCTTGACGAAAAGCTAGTCCGGACGACGTGCCCTTAAGGGAGTGTGTGTCGCGGCCCGTCCGCGCGAGGGCAAGCGGCCGGCATCAGAAAGCGGTTCGCGCAGCAACAGCAGACAATGGCTTGCGTGCTCCAACAATGTGCAAGGTCGACGACACGCCAAGCGGAGGGCCACGCTCGGCGGCGGGAGCGGTTGCGCTTGGACGCCGCGGCAACGGCTGGGTGCGGTGGGTGTGTGGAGCCAGGGCCCCGGATGTGAGGCAAGCGCGACGTGGTGACGAGTCTGCTTCCGGTTGGGCTGTCGCTGCTCTCTCAAGGCGCATGGAATTGCGATGCCGCGAGCCGATGGCCAAGAGGCGCCCGATCGCGGCGGGGCCTCTGCTGGTCGCTGGGCGCGACGCGCGGACAGGCACATGCGAGTTAATTAGCTTGTTCATTCGTGCTGGCTGGCCGGACCCTTGAAGGCCGCGGGCAGCTCCAGCCCGCTGCCGCCTCAAACTGTGTGCCTAGCCTCTTGTACCTGCAGGGAATTTCCCACGCTGGTGAAGATCACCTTGAAACACTATTGACAACACCGGGCTTGCCATGCCCCGGCACGCCCCGCTGCCCCCAAGACTTAACGACGTAAACCCTCAGGCCTCGCACGCGCACTCGCGCTCGCGTGCAGCCTGCCTTGTCTGCTAGCTCCCCGTGCATACGAGCGGCCGCGACCACCACCGCCGCCGCTTTCGTCAGCCACCGACGCCTCTTGCCCGTCCCTCCAGACACCCCCAGCCTGCCACGCCTCGAGTCAGCAGGCGCCGTCCGTCCACACCCCACGCACGCGCAGGAAGCGGCGCGCCGCAGCACGGTACGTCGTTGAGAGCTCCATGCGCACCTACTAGCTCAAGCTGCACCCGTTGCCCGCCCGCCCCTCGCGAAACAACCACGACGCTCACCCTTCGCAAACATCGCTAACCCGCCTGCCAGACTCGTTAGTGCTACGCTATTCTTCATCCCTTGCCACGAACCCCCTCCATGACTCCAGATGCCATCGTTCGGCAGCAAGCAGCACAACAGATCCCTCAGCCACCCGTTCCCTTCCCTCTTCGGCGGCGGCAAGAAACCCAGACCCCACGCGCCCCCGAATGGCGAATACCTTCCCGAGACCGACCGCTGCATGCCGCCTGCGAGCTACGGCGGCCATGGTGCCGCGAGGGGACCACCCGTCTTCGATAGGCGCGAGGAGGAGACCGGAAACTGCATGACCTGTGACTCCAAGGTCCGATATCCCCGCGGCCTCACCACCTTCCGCTGCTCAGCATGCCTGATGGTCAACGACTTGGTGCCCGTATCCCAGGACCGGCCTGATCGCCTCCCAAGCACCCATCCAAGCCCAGCGCTGCCAAAGAAACCCATGCCGTTGACGGTGGATCGAGCGAGGCACATCATAGATCGTTGTCTGGAGACACACTTGCACAATATGGTGGATCGGCGCAGTAGGAGCAGTCAGGACAGCGACGATCGGCCAAGAGGAAGTCAGGATAGCTCAGGCGCACCACGGGGCAGCCTGGACGCGGGTAACCCGGGAGAGATCGCGCCGGGGGACGCTCGTCTTGTACCCATGCCAATCCGGCAGCGGGCGCAAAGCGGAAGCCGTCCGATGATCTCAGTCTCTCCACCTTCAGCTGCGGAAACCCCAAACGGCTTCGGCATGCTCAAGAATGGAACAAACCCTCCCCAACAGAATGGCCCTCGTGGAACCTCGACTGCCGAGGAGATCCTCGCACCTCCGCCAACCCTCAGGCATCCGCCACGCCCTGGCACAATTCCTAGCCCACCTAACCGCAGACCACCCCCGCCGCCTGTACATGCACCTCCTCCTCCTCCTCCGCCGCCCGGACCGTCCGGACCTTATGCAGGCCGTGGCTCTCCAAGAGATGCTCCAACTCGCGTAGGTTCCCTACCCGCTGCTGGAGCACCGCCGATTTCGCCAACAGAAATTGCCGAGAGACGGCGCTATGAGCAAATCAAGATGATCTTCCGGCCGTTAGAAGACCATCTGATTGCAAGCTATGGAAACGTCGACTGCCTGAACACCGCTTTCATGCTGGGAAGACCGCACCACACCCCAAGGACTCGGAGTGAGGGGACCATGACCAGAGAACGACCAATTCAGACGCCTCAAGCAACATCGCAAGCAACATCGCAAGCTGCAACGCAAGCAGCGGCCTCGGATCTTTTTCTAGAGGCTGACGCAAGGATGCTAATGATTGGAGATATTGGTGAGAATGCCTCGTGGTGGCCTGGCCGACCTGAAAAGGAATCACCGAAGCAAACACTCGCATCAAACATTGGAAGGCCCAGCTCTGACGTGATTATTGTTAATCACAAATCACCCCTCATCAACTGGACGGAAGTACAGCATTGGTACGATACTGTCAACGGAGCTGGGGTTAATTGGCGGGCAAGGCTGGAAGAAATGCCGAACCTAGATTTCCCGGAGTCGTTGATTCAGGAAGCGGACGAAGAAATTCGAGACGCTCGAGTTCATGTACAGCGCATTCTACTCAAAATCACAGAGAGTCTGTTGAAACGCCCAGGGCGTCCTTTGGAGGATCCCGAGGACCTCCGTTTCCTTCTGATTATTCTTTTTAATCCGCTTCTGCATGGTTCTTCCGGGCCTAGGTCGCCTCCGATGCGGCGGGCGCCTCAGACCCGCCCAAGACAAGAGTCTAATCCAAATCAGCCTCCAGCCCTTGGACCGCCACCTCCGCTTGTAAGGCCACCGGGAAACCAACCGCCATCCCCAAAACCGATGCGATCTGCCAGTAACGCAAAGAGAGATCCCGGTCAACATTCGGGCATCATCAAGAGGATTTTGGGCCTATTCGCCAATCTGGACAACGAATGTCATCGCTACCTCACTACTTGGTTTTCCAGGTTCTCTGAGGATCATTTTCGACGCATGGTTGATCTCGTGGGCAAGTTCATCACCTACCGTCTCACTAGGCAACCAAGGAAGCGTAGCAATAGCGGGAATCCTATAGCAGGATTGATCCCAGAGTTTGGGGCACATGGCACGACTTCGGCTCAGCTTCATGCCGCGCTGGGTCTTTCTGGTTCGGGCCCCAAATCTGATGACCGTGCAGGAGATGCCCTGTACAGTGATGACTGGCAAGTCAAAGCTGCGGCTAAGGTTATGGCACTGCTTTTCGCAGCAAATAACACTTACCACAATCGCAAGACAGATCCCGTCAATCGCTCTCCGTCAGTAGCTGGTCAGGCAAGTGCTGGACTAGCAGCGCGCGAGCGGGCCAGGGCACACGGACAACTTCTCCCTACCTCCGACTTCTACAACACGTTATTAGACTTCCATGATCTCATTGCAGATTTTGAAGCATGGGAGAAGCGCACGGCAAAATTCTCCTTTTGCCAATATCCGTTCTTCCTTTCGATCGGCGCCAAGATCAAAATCATGGAACACGATGCCCGGCGACAGATGGAGAATAAGGCTCGAGAGGCTTTCTTCGACAGCATTCTTAGCAACAAGAATTTGGAACAGCACTTCAACCTCCGTGTCAGGAGAGAGTGTTTGGTAGAAGACAGCTTACGCAGAATCAGTGAGGTCGTGGGTGGGGGTGGCGAGGAGATAAAGAAAGGGTTGCGAGTCCAATTCGTCGGTGAAGAGGGCATTGATGCCGGCGGCCTACGAAAAGAATGGTTTTTGATGCTCGTCAGAGAGCTCTTTGACCCTAACCATGGTAAGTGCACACATTCGCGAGCGCTTTTTTTGGCCCAGCATAGATGGGTGCGGGCTTGTTTGGACCTATTTGTAACAGGACACAGGAATGTTTGTGTACGATGAGGACTCTCAGTTCTGTTACTTCAACCCCAACACTTTCGAACAGTCGGACCAGTTCTTCCTCGTCGGCGCTGTGCTTGGGCTTGCCCTCTACAACTCGACCATCCTGGATGTGGCGTTGCCCCCTTTTGCGTTCAAGAAGCTCCTTGCCTCTGCTCCTACGAAGAATGGTGTGGCGCCGGCGTCACGCAATCGGATTGACTACACGCTAGACGACCTTGCCGAGTTCCGTCCACGCCTTGCTAAAGGTCTGCGACAGCTGCTGGAATTTGACGGCGATGTTGAGGCTACCTTTTGTCGCGATTTCGTGGCTGAGGTTGAGCGCTATGGCGTGGTACATCAAGTCCCTCTTTGTAAGAATGGCGAGAATCGTGCTGTGACCAACGCCAACCGTAAGGAGTTCGTCGACCTGTACGTACGATACTTCCTCGATACTGCCGTGGCTCGTCAGTTTGATCCCTTCCGCCGGGGCTTCTTCACCGTCTGCGGTGGCAACGCGCTTAGCCTCTTCCGCTCTGAAGAAATTGAGCTCATGGTGCGTGGGTCCGACGAGCCGCTCGATGTGGCTTCTCTCCGTGCTGTTGCGGTATATGAAGGCTGGAGTGACCCGGCACACGGCGGCCGAAAGGTAGACCGACCGGGTGAGCATATTCTCGTCCTTCGTTGGTTCTGGGAGTTCTTTGAGAGTGCCTCTCCCACCGATCAGCGTAAAATCCTCTCCTTCATCACCGGCTCTGACCGCATCCCGGCTCTCGGAGCGACGAATCTGGTGATCAAGATTGGTTGCCTTGGTGACGACGTCGACAGATTCCCGGTGGCACGCACGTGCTTCAATATGCTGCAGTTGTACAAATACAACAGCAGGCAGAAGCTCGTGGATAGGCTGTGGCGCGCGGTTGTGGAAAGCGAAGGGTTCGGGTTGAAGTGATCTTCATCCACCCCTCTGGCTTTGCGATGGCGCCACTCCAGGCCTTTTACTCTCCTTCTCTGTTCTCTTCGTTCCTTCCCTGTCCTCTTCTACGCTGGCCCAGTGGTTCGGTTTGGACACAGGCGTTAACCATAGAAGTCCGGGCGTGTTGCTCTTCTTTTCCTGTTCTCGCGAAGTAGGGTCTCGGTGTCACGTTGATTTGGGCCATGCATCTCAGGCTTACTGCCCATTGGGTCGGCGTTTACTGCTTTTTTGTGTTGCTGTCGCGTCCTCCACAGCCATGGGCTAAACTTGATAGAGCAACTGCATTACTGGGCAGGGCAACAAAGACAGGCCTCTCTTCGAGTGATTGTATCTCGATTGTAGCATGTACGTAGTACAAACATGCCCGCTCTGGGAGAGCGAGCGGGCAAAGGATGGCTGTAAGGGGGGAAGGGGGAAAGACAATAGGTTGTCTCGGTAATAAGTGGGGGAAGACAAAGAATGGTAGCACCGAAAAGCGACGGCGTAGTCCACATCATTCATTGTCTTTGTGACCGGGGGCAGTGGTGGGAGTACGAGCGCGGACACGGGCCAATCGAACGGCTGAGGTCGGCCTTCCCGGTCCCTTTCCGCCAACCTCGGCTTCGCCCCCCGCCGTCCATCTTCCACTGCATGTCGCTCGGCTCCATCATTCAAGCAGCCAGAGACGTTGAGCCCTGTCCTGAGCCCCGAGTGCGTCTGCTGTTATCGTTCGCCAACTGACCAGCTCGGCTACAGATCTGCGGGCCGATCAACGTCAGAGCTGATCACCTCCTCACTCCTTCACCCTCAAGTCTGCCTGCTCCAGTTTTCCATCTTTCCATCGAAGATGCCCGAGACCATCAGAGAGCCGTGTCTCAAAGACCTGCAGTATCGCGGCTTCATCGAAGGCAGCACCATCAAAGAGAAAGAGTCGGGAAGAGAACTATCTCACTACTTTGGCGGCCTGCCATATGGCCTCCCACCAATTGGGCCCTACAGGTGGCAGCTGCCGCGCCCACTGCCGCCATGCTATCGCTACGGCACCCGCGCCAACCCCGGCCGCTTCACAGGCAACACGAGCATGTGTCCGCAGGGCCTTCCGACTTGGGTAGCGAATGCCCCGGACACCAGCAACCTTTGGGATGAAGACTGCCTGCAGCTCAACATCTGGATTCCCGCCGGCGATCCCCCAGCAGGCGGCTGGCCCGTACTGTTCTACATCCACGGCGGCTTCCTGCAGGTTGGCAACCCAAACGACTACAACCCGGTCCCGCTGCTGTCCGAGACGCCCGCACGCTTCATCCTCGTGCTGCCCGCCTACCGACTCAACATTCTGGGCTTCCTCGCATCGCGCGAGCTCCAGGCCGCGGCGGGCGGCGGGTCTGTCGGAAACTTCGGCTTCTGGGACCAGCGTCTAGCGCTCGAGTGGACGCACAGGAACGTGAGCTACTTTGGCGGCGACGCCGGCAACATCACCGTGGCCGGCTACAGCGCCGGTTCGCACAGCGCCTTCAAGCAGCTTGCCTACGACCTCTACCTGCCCGACAACAAGGCCGTCATCCGCCGCGCCATCATGTGGTCCAACGGGCCGGGCATGCAGCCGAAGTCGTTGGTTGCCGCGCAGGAACAATTTGACGAGCTGCTCGCGGTGCTTGACATCCCGCTGTCTCTGCCGGGCCACGAGAAGGTCGAGCGCCTGAAGGCGATGCCGCCGCGCCGCCTCCTCGCCGCCATCCCCAGAATGCAGCGCCATCAATTCCGCGCCGTCGTTGACGACGCCTTCGTCCGGAAGAATCTGTACGCCGACATCGACACGGGCGACTTTGCCAGGCGCATGCGCGCGCGTGGCATCGCTCTCATGACGGGCGAGTGCCGCGACGAGCACAACCTCTACGGCACATGGTACCCGCCGGGAGACGATCTCGAGTCGCTGCGCGCGCGGCTGTGTGCAGAGTACCCCTCATCGGCCGTCGACGTCCTCATCCAGCACTACTACCCGCAGGGCCGGTTGCCGGCTGGCGTGCGCGACTGGCGCGATGCGTTCGGCCGGATATACGCAGACATGCAGGTCCACCACCTGGAGCGCGGCTTCGTCGACAAGCTGCACGCCGGCGGCGCGGGCGATTTGGTGTATCGATACCGCATCGAGTGGCGGCTGCGCTGCTGCGACCGCTTCCTGCCGCCCGCCTGGGGCGTCACCCACACGGCCGACAAGCCCATCTGGTGGTGGGGCAACGGCATGGAGCTGGCTGACGAGGAGAAGGAGCAGGCGTGGGCGGCGCTGACGGGGCCGTATGTCCGCTTCGTCAAGGGTGAGCTGGACGAGCTGCGGAGGGAATGGGGCACCAGCGGCCCGAGACAGGTGCGGATGGTGGACTCGCAGGGGAAGCTCGTCATCTGGGAGGACAGCATGTGGGATGAGGGAACGAGCGTGTGGAACCAACTCCGGACGGTTGGCGCGACGCAGACGGGGCGAAACATCGAGGAGAGTGCTAAACTGTAAGTCTAAGGGTCATGGTGGCGCGGTTGATTGACCCATAACGCACCCTCGAGAGATGTGGTTTTGACCATTTTTGCTTAGACACATCATCCTGGACTATGATAGGGCTTAGAGTATGCGGGAAACGCCCGCAAGGACTTGCAAATTCGCGGGGGAAAAAAATTCAATTGCACGTATTCACGTCGGATAGTCCCCTTTGCTGCATCGCTCCCATGCTGCTGAGATCCATTCATTCGTAGTAGCCTAACGATAAACCCAACGCATCGCATTGCGCCGCGTCCCTAAATGCTGCGTCGCTGCTAACAGGCCAGCTCAATGCCTGGTACACGGGCGCCTCCGGATCTACTGCCTTCCACTGCGCACTACCACCGCCCCTCCCCGTAGCCGTTCTCAGCGAGTCACGGTACCCCATGCTCAACAGGTACGCCGCATCTGGGCTGGGGTCCAGATTCCGTGCAAATGCCGTCCACGCGTCCAACACGACCTGCGAAAAGGGAATGTCGCCGTCATCGCGCGGCGGTAGTCCCTCGCGCACGACGTTGCCGAAGACGTAGAGAAGTTCGCCTGAGTGACACTTGAAGTACTCTAGGCTCGGGTCGCCGTCCAGGTGCTCGAGTGTTGGAGGCGCTTCGCACGTTGGGTAGTTGGGGCTGTAGCCAGGAATTTGGTAGGAACGGTCGAACTCGTAGAAATAGGCTTTGGGGAAAGCGCCGTTTTTGATGCCTGAGTAGACGGTGGCGTAGTCGAGGCAGCGCAGCTCGGCGTCCGTGGCGAGACGCGCCGAGGCGTTGAAAACGGCAAGGGAGGTGTTGGTTGGGGTCAACTCGTAGGGAATGGGAAAGTGCATGTTCACATTGGGAGTCGAGGCAAAGCCCGAGGCAGCGAGAAAGGACGAGAGAGATTGGTTGGCGAGGGGATAGGAGAGAAATGCTGCGCCGTCGTCACGCATGACACCCATGAGCAGTGGGACTGGGGCGGCTGGGCCGATCCCGTCGAGGGGGAGGGTGGGGGTGGTGAGATAGGTGCCGTCGACGACAAGGTAGCTGTTGGACTTGATGAGGACTTCACGAGGTGTTGGCTTCGCGCGGGGAACTGAACATACCGAGCAACATTTGAAAGTCGCACCAGTTGACATGCATCATAGCTCCGGAGGCATGCAGTGCGATCACTAGCTGTGTCACAACCCGTCTCGTTCAGAATCGAGTCCGCTGCAGCTGCCACTTCTTGCTCGATTGTGTAATACTGGGAGTACGTGGTCCCGTAGTTGCTGCCGGCCAGATTACTCTGAGGAATTGCCGCCCTGAACTTTCCAATAGCCTTGGGCGATGTAAGAAGCGCTCTAACACTGGCCGCACCAGCACTTTGGCCGAAAATGGTGATGCGGCCAGGGTCGCCCCCAAAGTCTGGGATGTGTGCGTGGACCCAGTCCAGGGCGGTAATTTGGTCTGCCAGGCCGTAGTTACCGTTCAGCTCACCGCCATCTAGAGCCAGGAAGCCGAGGGTGGAAAGACGGTAGTTGATTGTCACGACCACCACATCCCCACGAGATGCCATGTTTCCCCCATCGAATGTTGAATCGCTGCCCGTACCTCCGGTGAATGCTCCACCGTGGATCCAGAACATGACGGGCCTCAACTCCTTCTTTGACACAGAGACCGAGTCCATGGGCAGACAGGGAGTCCAAATATTCAAGAAAAGGCAATCCTCGCTCTGGGAGCCCGTTGAAGAACAGCTGGAGGAGAAGCACTCGGGTCCCGGAGTGAGTGCCGAGACATTCTCAGCACCAATGTATGGGGTTGAGTATGTGAAACGCTCTGGCCTAGCGGCATAGCGGAGACCTTCGAAGCGGAAACTCAGTTTGTCCTACAAGGGGGGATTAGAGGAGACCACCAGGTAGAGTACAGTGCAGGCGGCTCCTACTCGATAGCCCGTCACTTGCAGATTTGCCGACCTCACAGCGGTATGCCATCGCTCCGACGTGTTGGTATCACTTGCCGTGCAGAGAGGAGCAGACTGCGTGCAAAGCGCGGGCAATTTCGCCTGGTGGCGTTGGGCTGAGACAGCCCCAGCCCGATCGATGCTGCCTCCATCAACCCAGAACTTGTCGAATCCAAGGTGAGCCAGCGGTAGGGCTGAGACATGCTCAAGTGGGTCCCAAAGCTGTTCCCCAAGTGCGGCGCAGTTCGACCGAGCTTTTTCTAGTGTCTGGGGCGTGCTTAGCACGATGGCTGCTGCGTTATGGGGGCTCAGGTTGCCTGTGCTCAGATTAGATCTACGCGTAGATCATTCCATGGGGATGGCGTAGGTTGTAGGACGAGCACGGGACCCGCTTGGAAGCCCTCCTTCATGTACGGGCGGTAGACGAGCGTGGTGGAATCGTAAAGCATACCATATAGATCATTGTGGGCCAGGATAACGAGATCCGAGCCAACGGAGCTGGGGCTTGGGACAGTGTGGGCGGCGGGCAGCCCGCTCAGCGCGGCGATGGCAGGGGCCAGCCAATGGGGAAAGCGCATGGCTCATGGGCCACGAAAGGACTCTGAGAGGAACAGGCGCGGGTCCGACAGGACGGGCCATTGTCGACGGGCGCGGCGACAGGCTCATATATATTGGCCGTTTAAACGAATCAGGGCTCCCGTTGCGGGGACGGCATGGACGACATTGCGCGAGAAGGCGGCCGGGTGAATGCAGAAGACAGCCCAGCAGGTGAAGAGGCGTACAATGGCGGCATGACGTGGTGTATATTATCCGCGGGGAAGGGCTGTCGACGCGCGGGCGAGGGGGTGAGGGGCTCGCGGACCTAGGTGCTAGGTACCTGGGATGATCGGCGGCCGGGCAGACGACGCAGCGGTGCTGGCACATGGGAAAGCGGTGCACGGCTGCCGGGTGCTGCGCGGGCGAGGGCCTCGACGCGGGCGTTTCAGAGCCCCTGGGCGGCCCACAACGACGTCTGCGAGTGGCGGCAGGCAGGCACACGCGCGATAACTGGCCAGGTCGAGGACGCTCGCACGCTCGCACGCTCGCACGCTCGCACGCTCGTTCTATTTTTGCCCTCAGCAGCGCCGCGTCCGCACTTCCAAATCCTGGCTCGTCGCGCTCCTCTTCTGCCGCGCTCGCCCCTCGCCGCCTGCGCAATCGCGCACGCCGCCCGCCTCGTCACCCCTCTCAGCTGCCCGCCAACCTGCTCTCCGCGAGCCTCCCGCTGCAGGCCCGACGCCCCCTGCGGGCTGCTGCGAGCGACGATGCCCGCCAGGCTCGGCCTTGGCTTAGTCACCATAACCGCTAAACTGCATCCAGAATAAATAACGTCAATCCACCCCCTCGTTTCTTGGCCATCGCTCGTCTCGTCTGTCCCGTTCCATTCGCTGTTCGCTCGCCCTTCCGGTCTTCACTACTCTGTCCTAACCCGCCTCTCCTCGCGCACCGCTGCCTCCTCCTGGCTCATCCACCTCTGTGCCTCGCTGCTTCCTCTTCCTGACCACCGCTCCCCAATCGCCCACGCCTGACATCCCCACCGCCGCTCGCGCGCATCATCACCGCCCGCCCGACCCACGCTTGGCCCTCGGACGGTCTCGCTCGCCCACCACGTCCTCGAGAGCCCACCCATTGCTGGAGACGCCAACGTCGCATGCGCCGCTGATCGGGTGCCCGCCTGCGCCGTCTCTGCTGCTGCTGCCTTCAGTCTCCCCTGCCGGTCGCAGCCGCCCTCGTCGCGTCGACGCCCGCCCGCCTTTGGCTCCCGCCACGATCGCACAAAACCTGTCCTCGCTCAAAGGAGGCCCGTAGAGCGATCCAGGGAGCCTGCAGACTCGCTCGAGTTCTTGCTTGACGTCCCTGCGCTGCCGCGACGGCCGTCATGCAATTCAACGCACGAAGAGACTGAGCCGCCTCCATCTCGACCCAACACCTGGCGGATTATGACAGAAATCCCCTTGCTGCAGACGCATGCTGTTCCTCAGCTAAGCCCCAGGGCTCCATTCGCGCCCGTTTCTTATCCAGTTCCCAATGGCCGACCGGTGGCAGACGCTCCTCAGCCCGACGAAGATCCCGTTTCTGACACAATCAAGTGCATCTGCGGCTACGAGGCCGATGATGGTAGCAGTGTCCTGTGCGAAGTGTGCAGGACATGGCAGCACGTTCTCTGTTACTACGATGACGAAGACCAGATCCCTCGAGTCCACGAATGCGCCGACTGCCAGCCGCGAGCCCTCGACCAAGTACGAATCAAGGAGCGTCAGAAGGCCTTCAAGAACATGACCTACATGATCGAGAGGAAGCCGAAGCGGCCCGCAACCAAAAGTCACAAAAAGAAAATAAAGGACGTCAACGCCGCCGTTGCGCTCACGAACGGACACGCCGATGACGCTCTTTCTGCTCTGGATCGCAAGAGCGGGAGTCCCAAAGATCATCAGCCTCCGTCGAAACGGCCAAAGACAAACCATAAAGCGTCTGGATCCGTCACGTCGCTCAATCAGTCGGCTTCGGGTTCGCGGAAGCGGGCTGCGTCAACCGCGCAACCCGTCCACAGCCCGGTCAAGTCGCCTGGCCCGCCCATCCCGACCGGCTATGCGCCCGATTACTTCTCGGATGAATTCATGCAGCTCTACCAGCATCCCGAATATACCCAGATCGAAGCAAACTCCTTCAGCGATCTAGCCGTGACCAACAGCCTGCAGACTTGGCTCTGGGATCCCGAGGCGACAAAACAAGCTTCCGGAGGCAAGGCCCGTGAGCAGATCTTCCAGCGGCACGAAGGTACCATAAAGTCTCTCGAGGAACATGGCCCTGTCTTGAAGGAAAACACCGGCATCGGCGCCATCGCAACAGTACAAGGATCTCACCCTACCTTCAAGTGGCTCACCGTCGAATCCGAGGTTCCATGCGGTGGATTCGTTGGGGAAGTCAAAGGCCAGATCGGTAGGAAAGAAGAGTATTGCTCGAATCCGGAAAATCGTTGGGAGTCGCTCCGGCACCCTGCACCATTCGTCTTCTTCGCTCCGTTTCTCCCGCTGTACATCGACACCAGGCACGAAGGGACTCTCCTGAGGTACATTCGACGCAGCTGCAGACCTAACGTGCGCATGCAGATCCTGATTACCGGCGAATCTGAGTACCATTTTTGCTTCATCGCGCTCGACCACATCTACGCGGGCGAGGAAATCAGTATTGGCTGGGACATCGACAAGGACGTCAAGAACGCGCTCGAGGCCTCTCTTCAGAATGGCAACATCCACGAGCGAGGCATCCAAGAGGTTGAGGGTGTGTCACACTGGGTTGCCGGTGTGCTCTCCAATTTCGGCGGATGCGCGTGCAAATTGCCAATCATGGAGTGCCCTCTCGCCCTTGCCGACCGACGCAACGCACCCGCCATACTCGCCTCGTCAAATGCACAACCGCTGAAGTCCAAGAAACCCAGACGAAACGGCAATCAAAACTCTCCTCTCAGCACCGGTCAGGCAACAAACAGTCGTGCGGGCAGCGAAGCGCGAAACCGCCCCGAACACGACGACGAGAATGCTGACAGTCGCTCGGTTTCCGGCTCATCCCGTAGCAAACCAACCAGTCGAGACATCACTCCGATGACACATGTGTCCAACGAGAATGCCGTCGGGCTCGGCGTGGAGATGTCGGACCGAGAGAAGAGGAAGCTGATGCAGCAGGAAAAGCTCTTCGAGCAGCTTGAGCACGACGAGCAACATGCACAGAGGAAGAGAAAGAGGAACAGCGCTGGATCGGCCCTCAATACGCCCAGTGTGGCAACTTCAGTAAGCACGACGTTTTCAGCTAGTCAGAGAAAGGCTAACCGCGTCTCAGAAGCAACTTGGCCATTCAGAGTCATCCTTCCCCTCTCCGGCAGTTGCGTCCAAATCTCGGGCTGCAGACCCGAACTCTCGCTCGCATAACATGAACGGTCGTCGATCGAATAACTCGTCGCATCAACGTCGGGCTGGCGCACGTGCGCCGAAAGAACCGGTACCGCCTAAGAAACCGGAGTACAAAGATTCAAGCATGCAAACCGAGCCGGACAAGGAATTTCCGTCTCTGGTGCCTTTTCCCGCCGCGCGCCGGAAACCGAAGGGTTCCTTTTTGCGATCGCTGCTACATCGCACGCACGACACCAGAGTATACAGAGAACGATCGGAATCCGCACAACACAGCCCCTTTGGGTCACATTTGCAAGGTGACAGGATGAATGTGGACAAGCCTGCGTCATCGGCTACTGTACTAGCCGTGAAACCGCATCCCGTCCCCGACTCGACGACGGCGACACCAAAGGAGGCATATCCCCCCCTCAAGTCAGAGGAAGATATGGAAATGCACGATGCAATCGCAGTTGCGGCGGCCGAAATCTCAAAGCAGGGAAATGAGCCCATCTCGCCACGGATGGGCGCGCCTACTGGAGATCAACCCGCAACGCTCTCCTCGCAGCTCCCTCAGTCCTTCCTCCCGCCCGAGGAGATATCGCCAACTAGTACTCCGGCATCCTCCAGCGCACCGACCATGGAATCGAAAGCTACGTCGCCCGGCTTACGGGTTGAGCTCCCACTCGCGCCAACACTTGAGAGACGTCGTCCATCCATGACAACACCCCCTCCTCCTTCCACCGTTGGTGCCCCTGCATCATTATCTGTCTTGACTGAAACCCCCACACTCCCAACACCATCCGCGCCTACAATATCTCTTTCGTCTCCTGTCGACATAGCGCCGCCTTCGACCGTGGTTACCCCCAGCCCTGTGCAACGTAAAGCCAAAATGAGCTTGAGCGACTGGACTGCCAAGAGAAAAGCTAAGCTTGAGGCGAAGAGCCATGATGGTGACAGAGGAGACGAGAAGGACAGGGATAGGGATGCAATTGCTGAGACAGGAGATGTCAGGGACGAAGACGACCGGCCCAGTAGTTCGGACAAAAGGGAAGAAAGTTCGGAGGCTAAGGTTGGCGAAGGCGCATGAGGATACCCATTATTTATTTTCTGATACCTTTCGAGTCGGGTGTTTCTTCTTTTCCTAGACCACCGCGGGCGGCTTTAGGGGGGGGAGCTTTAATCGGTGATAACCGAAAACATTTCTTTTCGTTCCGCTCGCCTTTACTACTACTGTACGATTGCAACGGTTTTTATGGGTGGCACGGTTGGGGGGGTTACGGGGTCAAAGGGGTTTGACATTTCTGGAGAACATGCTTAGGTATGGACGGCTGGACGACAGGACTATCATCTGTTACCTTCCTGAGCTCTTATATAGGGTCATTCAGCGGGTCAGTGATGACGTAGGAACTTTGGGTCCTTCTGCAATCCCCATCCCCATCCCTTATTTTACACAGCCCAGTCTAGCTGTGCCTCGCATGAGGGATTCACTGGTCAAGGATGCTGCTCTTTTCTTCACCTATTCCACTCTAATTCCTTCTACGCAAGCCGCTGCCATACTTCCCTGATGTTTGCTCAGTCTTACGTCCGACTTGTTTGCTGCGAAAAACAACGTCCAAATTACGGGACACGATGGCCAAAATCCCCTTTCCCTTTTCTTGTCATTCCCATTGGCACAAAATGTCGGCGTCCATACCAAGGAGCCGAATGGACAGATGGATGGGTTGAAAGGCGAAAGCTAGATTCAATGTCGCGTGTCGCGCCATTGTCAATGTATAGTTAGGTAGCTGTATGTGCGGACCGAAGAAGTTCGCTCAATCACCTATCACCAACCTCGATTTGGCCTTGCATATTTATGCGTATCTAGCACAGACTTGCCGGCCAGCAATATTACTCTCACGAATGAGCGTTGCATCAAGATTGTATTTAAGGGTTCTGTTAGACCGGAATCGCAATGAACGTGATACAGTCCTACATAAGATTTGGGATCTTGTCGACTGCCGTAGGGGTTCCTCGTCAGCAATAGAGATGCCGGTGTTTGTCATTCTATCCTTTTCAACAGTGGTAAGTCATCAGTGCTAAGGCAATGTAAGTTGGACTGAGTTAGACGACCACCGGATTCAATTTCACCTTGACCTTTTTTCAAGGTTGGAAATGCACTGCTCACGAGGAGCTGAGTCACATGCTCTCATTTAAGGACTCTTCGCCGCACAGGACGCGTTCGCCCGTTGACTTGTCTACATGTTCGCGTGAGGATGATAGAACAATTGCTTGTCTCTAGCTCACTCAATCGACATATGGGACACGGTCGCACATCAGCACCGCATGCGTTCAGAGCTACCGTTTCTCTACGCAAGAAAGGGGAAGAAGAAGACAAAGAAGGTACATTGGTATACAAGGCAAGCTTAATGCTTCCTCTCAAAGTAAGACCATTGCCCCTCTGCAGGCTTCTCGCACAACTCTTCCCACCTAATGTGCGGTCAGTAAGTGGCTACATGTGGTCCAGGGGTTGGAGCAACTTACACCTTGTCCTTCAGCATTTCATTGGCAAGTCTGAGCTCGCCCTCGGCGACTTGAATGACCTCCTCAATTAGGCCAGCGCCAATCTCCTTCTCGGCGGTGGAGATCCTGTTTCATTACATGTCAGAATCGGCGTGCCACACAAGGCTTTTCAGCGCAAATATGAACATACTGGTCGGCGGTCAGGCTGGGCTCCGCTTCAACGTGTAAGGCCTGGGCCTTATCTAGGTTGGCGGGTCTGCCATAACCCAATGCTTCCTTCTGGTCCTTCCTCTCGGCGGGCGTGCGGATGCCCTCGAGCGAGGGCTCGGCGACAAGCTCGCCGTTCCATTCCTCCTCGCGTTCATCAACCTCGGGCGCCGCGCGGATGGTAACAAAAGACCGGCCGTCGGCAGTGTGTCTGATGGCAACGCCGTGCTTCTCGAAGGCGTCCGGGTTCGCATCAACCTGCTTCTGGACACGCTCCTCCCACTCCTTGAGGCCGGCAGGCTCAATGCGCTCAATGATGTTCAGGCGGTGGCGGGTCAGAGCCTCGGTGGACTGGCGGTAAACGGACGACTCGGGGAACTGCTTGAGCCGGTCGAGCGTCTTGCTGTACAGGTAGACCAGAGTCGAGCGCGGCGCAGCGTGGGTGGACAGGCCGGTGAGGCCGGTGGGGGCGCCGGGCTCGAGGACGCGCCCGACGGGCTTGACGGCGGCGAGAAGACGCAGAGCTGGCCTCATGGCGGCGGTGGACTGGCGGACGGGGTGTGATGGGGACGCAATGGCCGGCGGACCAGTGAGCGGTGGTGCAAGTGTAATGGCCTTGGCGCCGGTCTGGGCGCCGCCCGTTGTCGATCTCGCGCCTGGGGCTCAGCGCAGCGGCCTCCTTTCGCGACCATCCACGCACCACCGTGTCGAACGCGGCACACCACGCTCCCGTCGGCCGCCCGTCCCCTCGCTCTCCCTCTGCGCCGTAGATGCCCGCCCTGCTCTCGCCCTAACGACCCGCCTCCACCGGCCCCAGCGGCCTCGTCAATCCAGCTACCTGTCCTCGTCCGCAGCCGCCCACCATGCGCCTGCTCTCCTCATTCCTGTCGCTCGCACTGCTCTCTTCTGCCTTCGCGTCGCCTCCCACCAAGGACCCGAAGGATCTCGAAGATGAGACAGCTGTGACCGTGTTCAACGGCAAGGAGGTGCCGCCCATGAACCAGTTGAGCACCGACAACATCGACAGCAAGATCGCCAAGGGCAACTGGTGTGTATTCCCTCGTGGCGGTGCTTGGTGCGGCTGCTTACATGTCCTCCAGGCTCGTGGAATTCTTTTCGCCCTATTGCCACCACTGCAAGGCCTTCGCTCCGACCTGGCAGACCCTCTACGAGTTCTACTACACACAAGACCCGCTTCCCGGCTCCGATTCGAAGGACGGCGACCACCTGAACACGTTTTCGCGCTACTACGACTTTAATTTTGCACAGCTCAACTGCGCTGCTTACAGTGACGGTTGCGCCGCCAAGGATATCCGCTCGTATCCCTCCATTGTGTTCTTCAAGGACGGCAAGGAAGTCAAGAAGCACGTTGGTGCCGACAAGCTCAAGTTCTTCGCCGACTGGATCGAGGAGTCTCTGGAAACCATCAGGCCTGGTTCTCGGCCCAAGGATGGCCTAAAGCTGCCCGAAGTTGGTGCAAAGGGCGTCGAGTCCAATGCGAAGCCCGATGAGCCCGCCAACAAGGACAAGAACCCTGCTGCTGGTGCCGCCGCCGCAAGCGAGCACAATGAAATTGCCACCAAGGCTGCGGTTGCTGCCGCTGCCAAGGAGACTGGCACCAAGACAAAGCAAAAGCCGGAACGTAACCCCCAAGGTACCTCCATCCCGCTTACTGCGGAGAGCTTCCAGAAGCTGGTCACTATGACCGAAGACCCGTGGTTTGTCAAGTTTTACGCGCCTTGGTGCCACCATTGCCAAGCCATGCAGCCAAATTGGGCGTCCATGGCCCGTGAGATGAAGGGCAAGCTCAATGTCGGCGAAGTCAACTGCGATGCTGAGAAGAGGCTCTGCAAAGATGCGCACGTGAAGGGCTATCCCACCATTCTGTTCTTCCGCGGAGGCGAGCGCGTTGAGTACGATGGTCTACGCGGCGTTGGTGATCTCATCAGCTACGCGAACGGTGCTCACGAGAGCAGTGATGGTGTTCCTGATGTCGATGCTGAGTCCTTTGCTGAGCTGGAGAAGAGAGAGGAGGTCATCTTCCTCTACAATTACGACCACGCTACAACCAGCGAGGATTTCGCGGCATTGGAGAGGTTGACGCTCAGCCTGATTGGACACGCAAAGCTAGTCAAGACCAAGGACCCCAAGTTGCATGACAGGTTCAAGATTTCCACCTGGCCCAGGCTGTTGGTGAGCAGGGACGGGAAGCCTAGCTATTACACCCCCATCGCACCCAAAGACATGCGCGATTACAGGAAGGTTCTGGGGTGGATGAAGACCGTCTGGCTGCCGATCGTTCCGGAATTGACCTCTTCCAACGCGCAAGAGGTCATGGATGGCAAGCTCGTTGTTCTTGGTATCCTTAACAGAGAGAGGACGGATGAGTTCGAGAGCGCGAAGCGTGAAATTAAGAATGCTGCTATCGAATGGATGGACAAGCAAATCCAGCAGTTCCAGCTCGAGAGACAGGAGCTTCGCGATGCGAAACAGCTGCGGATCGAGGAAGCGGAGGACCGTAACGACCAGCGCGCGCTTCGCGCCGCTAAGAGCATCCGCATCAACATGGATGAGATTGAGCGCAAGGAAGTTGCTTTCGCTTGGGTCGACGGCATTTTCTGGGAGCGTTGGATCAGGACGACATACGGTATTGATGTGAAGGACGGTGAGAAGGTCATTATCAATGATGAAGACGTGAGTAAAAGTGCTTTGAGTGAAATGAACATCTCTCTGATCAAAATTTCCACAGAACCGCCGCTATTGGGACCAAACTTTCACTGGAAACCCGATCATCCCTTCCCGCACTTCAATTCTTGAGACGCTTTCCAAGGTTACTCGTGACCCGCCGGCTCTCACCCCAAAGTCCACCATTGGCGCTGTTTCGATGTTCTTCTTCACGATCAAGCAATTCTTGGCCGGCCACCCTTTCCTATCCGTCGGCATCATCCTTGGTGTTGTCCTCGCTGCGACCTACTTCGGTCGCGGTCGCTTCAGGCGCGGGAAGACATTTGGGACCAGCGGTGGCTTCTTCCAGCTGCCAACAGGAAACGAGAAAGATGGTCTTTTGGGCGCAGTCAATGGGGGCGCCGCTAAAACGGATTGATGAAAGGTTATGCAGCTAATGCGAAGAGAGGGATTCTGATCTGGGTGGAGAATTCCCGGAAGGCTTGTAGCATATACTTCGGGTGCGCCATCTTTCGTCTGGTACTGAAGGGTGGGAGGTGTTATTTCCCTCGGGGATTCTGTTGATTTTTCGATTGGCGTTTTGTCTGTTCCTTCGGATCGGAAGTGGATTTGGGGCTCTCATGTGTTCACCCCTTAACATAAGTTTATTTAGATATCAGTGAGAGCAAGAATGATCGTGTTCAAACACCCACGGATACGAGGATTACGTTTCATGCATAGAGGAGCCATCATCCAAGCTTCCACCATTTCGATCAAATCCCTGTAGTCCGTCTCAGATTATCAGCTCGTGCATAAAGCGCCAGTTGCCGTTTTCGAAGCTTTGAGGCACTGCATTATCAAGGAAACCCAAATACCTAGGCGACATGGAACCAAGCCATTCGTCTTGTGATAACCAGATGCGTCCCGTAACACCATTTCCTACGCTGCCAAAAAAAAAAAATAACGGCCAAGGGAATGCCCGCTCCGTTGACGATATTATTACATGTTCCAGAAAACTCTGTAAACATCCAGACCGATCAACATGCTAATACTCTCTACTTACAGTCCTCTTCGATCCTCACCATCGTGTTTCCGTGCCTCCACCCGGTACGAGGATATCAGGCGCATGTTGGGCATCCGGATAGCCTCGTGACAGGATAGCCAAGATAAGACCTCCCACGATGTGGTTGACCCGTTCCAAGACCAAGCCAGGGGATAAGTGTGGGGAAAGAGATAGCATGTCAGGCATCCAGTTGGTTGAATCTTGGCTTTTCGATCTGGATATCTCCTACCCCTCCTTCGTCATACCCCACGGCCCACACCCGTGCAGAAGCGGACCCCGCCGAGTTCCTCCCTGGTGCTGACGGCGGGACGACTGGACCCACGACCCATACTTAGTTTCCACCGTCTGGTCTGCACTGGACAGCCCTGCGCGTGGGCGAGGCGGGACCCCCACAATTCTAATCTTGCTGCTGGCGACCCGCCGGACGTAGCTACGGGACGGTCGTACATACATACGTCTGCCGCGTGCGCTGTTCCTGCATCGGAGGGAGCGCCTGCTTTGGCCCTTGCTTCGTTTGTTGCGGCATCTTGCATCCCTCGACGCCTATCAGAACAACCCGCGTCGACCACTGCTCATCCCGCTCGCCTTATCTGCATCGACGCCCGCCGCCATGTCTTCAGTCACCGTTGCCTCCCTCAAGCGCATCGACGCCGACGCGCTGTACGCCCTGCTCAAGCAAACCCCCGCCAAACCCGCCTTCGTGTCCTCGTCGTCGTCTTCGTCAGCCGCCGAGCCTCCCACCAGCGTGCGCTCAGACGCCGAGTCCGCCGCAACGACGACTTCGGCTGCGCCCCACGCGTCCGTCGCCGTCATCGACGTCCGCGACTCGGACTTCTTCGGCGGGCACATCCGCGGCTGCACCAACGTGCCCACGTCGGCGCTTGACTACAAGCTGCCGGAGCTGGTGAGGCACCTGAAGAGCACGTCGACCGTCGTCTTCCACTGCGCCCTGAGCCAGCAGCGAGGCCCCAGCGCGGCGTTGCGGTACTTGAGGGAGAGGGGCAGGCTGTTGGGCGACGATGGCCCCGGCGAGGGACAGGAGGTTTGCGTCTTGGAGGGGGGTTTCGTGAGGTGGCAGGAGAAGTAAGTAGCTTCCCCTTGCTGTTATCTCATGTGGGGGGCGTTGTGGGTGTGCGTGTGGGTGGTGGAGGGGCTGACGTGTGTGTGTGTGTGTGTGTGTGTGTAGGTACGGCATGGACGAAACAGTCACGGAGGGATACAAAAAGGACATATGGGAGTATGGATATTAGGGTGCTCGAGGGTCTGATGAATCGGTAACGGACGGTCTAGGGGATCGTATTGGACGCGCGTTAGAAGGGCGATGGAGGGGCCCCGAAGGCGGGTGGAAGGCGGGGCATAGGCGTTGGCCGAGTGTGAAGATTGTGTCTCGAGGGCCTGCGCCTGGGTGGGCGAACGCCGAAAGAGCTGGCCGAAGTTGATATCATGGGCTCCGACGAAGAGCGTCTGGCCTCTCCCGGCCATCTGGAGCAGCGTGTGGATGGACCCAAGTCCAGCGCGGATTCACTCGCTGCAACCACGACTCAGCATGGACATCCTCAGCACATCGACTCGGCTGTCTGGCGCGTCACTTGATGAAGGACCCTGGTAGCAATGCTTATAGTCATAGCTATCAACTACCCGTTGGGCGGCGATCCGCCGGGGTTCGACGCGTCCACACTGCCACGCCTTCCACGCGTCATCGGGACAAGGCCATGCTCTCGCTATCACATTGCTACGACAACCCTAATACAGCTGAAGATTCAACGCGTGCCAACACATACCGCTCTTCTTGCCGAGCTGTGGTTGCTTCCAAACGTGCTATTTTTGCCCGGGCTATACCAACGCCTTCCCTCAAACGCGGAGCGCAGGCTCGGCATCCGAATGACACACTAGCCGCGGATTCCATGGCTTCGCGCCTGAACAGGTCGTGAGGGGCTACCGCTGCTGCTGATGGATGGAGGAAGGCGTGGCGCGTGAGCGGCACGGTCAAGCTAAGCACTACGCGTCTCGAGCACGGCAAATCGAGATCAGTGACAGTCGCGTCGGCCTAGCTCCCCAGGTTCCATGTCAGGCAAAACAGAACAAGTTTCAGCAACGGGGATGCCAGCTAGGTATACAGTCGCTGGGAACAACCCTTCCCGAAGGATGCCAGGTGTGCGAGCTGAGCGGCTGGGAGACGGATTCAACGCGGCACATTCTCGTGCCAGAATCCCGCAACACGGCTACAAGCCATCGCGTAGCTACTGCCCGGTGCCTCGACAACGCATGGCATCGTCCTTGAAACTCACCGGATGCCAGCGATCCCATGGCCGCCAGGTTCGGCCGCACCCACGGCTGCACCTGCCCCGATACGGTCATCGTGAAGTTGGAAGGATGCAAACGATGTCGCATCATGGACACGACACGCGCCCAAGCTCTGCTCTGCTCCGATGGCGGTCACCTCTCGGCGCCACCTGCTGCTGCCTGCAGGCTAACTAGCTCGCGCGCCAGGCCAGCATCGCGGACAAGCAAGGCGGCCGATTGCTCATCCGCTCGTCTGGACTCACTCTTCGCGTCGCATACCCTGGACGCAGGGCCCTGTCTAGCACGCAGCCACGTCGATGGTCAGTCTGAGTCTCGGACAGCGCGAACGCATGTTTGCCCGCTGTGGGTGGATGTGTTGTGCGTCCTCGAGCCCTGCATGAGCCACTCGGCCCGCCTGAGCCCCCAGCTCGGCGCTTTTTTTTTGCCTGGAGTGTGCTGGAGCTGCAGCTGCTTCGCCTACACTTATTTTTTTGGCTGCCCTTCTTCACGTACGTCCACTCCCATATCGGGCTGCGCATCCCGCGGAACCGGGTAGGCGGTGATTCGAGTCGCACGAGATCTGATGCGGGTCCGCTCAGCGCGCCTGCCAGTGGCCAAGGGCCCTGGATGGGCGGTGTCGGCAGGGTCAAGCTTTCTCGTATGGGTATCGCATTTTCCTATCATCCGCCGCTGCCCACGCAACGGGCGGCTGCGTTCCGCACCCGCCCACCCAACACCGGCGAAACGCGCTGCGACAGAAGCGAGCGGGCAGCGCGTACTGCGGAACATGTCGGGGGTGTCGGGCTGCTGGCGCGTGCACGGGGGAGGCACGCTCGTAGCCGACGAGCCATTGAGTTTCGGTGGTCGTGGCTAACAGACTGAACTGGACGAAGCCGCTACCGCGTGCGGATGCGGGAGGTTGGGCAAGGCTCTTCGGAAGCGTTGCTCGTTTGAGGTGCAGGGCAACCGGGACCCTTGGCTGGACTTTGCTCTTCCGGACAGTTGCTGCAGGCGAGAAGGGGCGAGCCGCCTGGAGTACCGCCGGCGGGAAGCCGAGAGCGTCGCGCGCTCGCCACGTCGTCCGCCCTCCAGGCTCGTTTTGGTAATGGGATTGTGTAGGGCCCTTGGCGCACGTCCGCGCTGGCCAGCAGGAAACGCCGCGTGCAAGCGAGCATCGAGGGCAGCCAACCGCAGCAGCCAGCGGTGATTAGCTAACGGCTTTGCAAATGGCGTGAGCGCGGCCGCTCGGACGAGAGGGCACTTCTAGAATCTGGCGTTGGACGGCGACGATAGGGAATAAGAAAGGTTGATGGACGTGATGGGCGGGATGGGCACTGATGGGCCGCGAAAGAGCTAGGAATAGGAAAGGCTCGTGTGATGCGGTAGCACAACGACGCCGGCATTATAGCTGATCACCCAATAGCGCTGCTGCAAACGCGCGAAGACCAGACCGTGTAGGACGGTCGCAGTCGCCAGCACTGCGAGCACCCCGGCCGCCGGCGCCAACCACGTCGCATGCAGCCTGCGCCCTGGATGCTTGCCGCCGCTGCTTACCTATTGTTCGCAGCGTCCCGCCGCTTGGCCTGCGCTTGCCGACGTCACTGCGCTGCCAGGCGGCTCGGCGGATCGCCATTGGCGGTCTGATGAGACAGGACAAAGGGTCCTTGTCCTCCCAGGCACGCGGAACACGTGTGTTTGGCGCCACGAATCGAGGCACAACGGCAGCAACTCCGCGCGCCCGCTGCGGCTGCGGCGGCGGCTGCCGAGGGTCGTGGGCCACGGTACCGCGCAGCATTCCCACGTGCAGCAGGCGGGGAGCAGCGAAGAAGGTTGCGGACGGCGAGTGGCCTCTCCCGCCTGCACAGAGCACGGTGCTTGCGCGAAGAGGTGGCATGGGCAATGGGCTGGCACCGCGGCCGGCGCACGGGCGCCAGCGAGGATGCCTTGCCGGCATCCGATGTGACAGGGGCCAGAGCAGGCAGGTCGTCCAGCTCGGTGAACTTTCCGTGTTTCTCGCGACGTTACGCCCGCGGCTTGGCTACGCGGCGGTTGATGTTCGGCGCGCCTGGCGCAGCCGCTGCAGCGTCGCAATCACGGCGCGCGAGGCCAATATCCGGCGGCCGCGCGCGGCGCCCGCCGACGCACGGAGAGTTCGCTCGCCCGGCGCGCCCGTCGGAGATAAATGCGCGCAGAGGAGCGCCTTGCCCGTTGCGACCGGCGCCGCCATTCGCGCGGTGAGTGACGGGCGTGGCGGTGCTGACCTGCGCGCCGTGGCCGGTCAGCGCTGGCTGCGAGGCCGGCCTTGGCGATGGTGGCTGCGCGCGCAATCGATAAGCGGGCGTAAGCGGGCGGGCTCTTCAACAAAAAAAAAAAAGAAGGTTCATCAGCAGCAGAGGTGGGTTGGGGTATGGGCGGGCTGAGGGTCAGCGGTTGGCCGCGCTGGGCCCGCGCTGGTTGGACCGGATCGGCAGCCACGTCCCGAGGCGTGCATGAGCGCCAGGTGCGCGTCTGCACGGATGCCTCAGGCACGGAGGCGGCCTGCAGCCAGCAGCACCAACAGTGGCCGCCGCGCCGGGTCTGTGTGCGCAGCAGCCAAGCCAGGCTGCTGCACGGCATGCGCGCGGCGTGAATAAAACGCTCGCTGCATGGCGATCACGTGGCGGTCAGTTGTGGTTGATTCGGGCGCTCGTTTACTGCGCGGTGCGTGTGTTATTTTTCGCGGGCGACGCGCCTCACCACGCAGTTCCCACCTTCTCCCGCATCTCATCGCATCTCTTCAGATCCAGCGCCTCCCCTGCCGCAGCACGCACCTAGCTCACGCCGGGGCTTCCTGATCTCGTCAGTGGCCTTCCCGCCGCGGCACTTCGACGCGGACTCGGCGGCACACGTTAGCGCAATCGGCGCGAGGACGTCACCCAGACCAACGCGAGCGCTGCTGCAATCCTTTTTCGCCCTCGCCCGCCTGCAAAGCTCCCCATCCTCCCTCTGGCGCAAGCACGTCTCCATCGACCCTCCCAAGCCCGCAGTCCCAGGTCCCCACCGACCCCTCGATTTCCCCTCCGCCCGCGCCCCCCCCAGCCAGTGCTCCCGACAGCCAGCTCACCAGCTCCACCCGTCTGCCGCGGCTGAGGCTGAGGCTGAGAGAGGCTCTTCGGAAGTGGGTCCTTGATCTGCACGCAATCCCTTCCCGTAGGCGTTGAACCATAACGCCCGCAGAGCCAGCAGAGACCCGTCGCGCCCGCGACTCGACCGGCACGTTCAGAGCCGTGCGCAAGACCTCTCCAGCACCACGTGTTTGCGCTGCCCGCCCCAGCTCTGCTGCCCGCCGGTCCGCTGCCCGCTGCTCGCTCCCGCGCCGCCCGCGCTCGCCAAATCCGACTCCCGAAAATTTCTCTCGGCCTGCGCGCCGAGTATCATCCCACCTCGACTCGTCCCGCCCAGCGCAAAACCCGAAACCCCCACCATCCATCCGCGCAAACTTCCCACCATCTCCACCGCGGCCGCCTCCCACCTCTTTTCTCATTTCACAAGCTCCCTCTCTCCCGCCCGCGCCTTAGTCTAAGCTCGATCGACGCCGAGCTGCAATTTAGCCTCCCGCCCCCCGACGGATGTGGACTGAGGGTCGGCCTCCGACAGTGCGCACTTCGACCAGTCGTCCTTGCTCCACCATATCATGGACGATCCCTTTCACTCTCCCGCCAGCTACCTGCATGGAATCCCAACGCCGTCTGGGACGCACTCCCAGCCGTTGACGCCGCACCAGTCGGCGACCTTGCCGCCGCAGCGTTACCGCGCGCAGTCGGCTTCCACGCACCAGCTCCCCCCACTGCCTCCACTCGGCAACGCGACCCAGTTCTCCACAAACACCTACGGGAGCGCCCCCCAGACTCCGCTGACTCCGCAAACCCCAGCGACGTCAGCTCCGTCTCTCACGCACAACCGCTCACTGCCCACCATTGCGCCGCACCCGCCGCTGCACACCAACACCTCCAGCTCCTCCTACTTCCTGCCGCATTCGACTGCCCTGTCCAACGGCCAGAGCTTGGGTGGCATCTCCTCGAGCGCCCACGCGAGTAACCCGCATGCCATTGCTCCCTCAAGCATGACGGCCACGCTCCAGGACATCCGCCCCATGCCCGCAGGCGGCATCGGTCTGCCCTACAACTCGTCGCATCTCCTGTCACAACCCCCGATCTTGCCTAACCAGGAACCCGAGCCGATCCATGTCGTGGGTCAGCAGGGCCGGCGCGGCGTTCTGCCTACCGCCAACGGCCGACCAGCTCCCGGTAGTGCTAAGGCGACCCAAAATCTGACCAAGAACGCCGACAACAAATACGAGTGCCCGCACTGCAATAAGACGTACCTGCATCTTAAGCATCTCAAGCGTCATCTTCTCCGACGTAAGTCCTGCCCACTTGCCACACATTCGATCCCTACTAACCTTCTGAAGACACTGGCGAGCGGCCTTACCAATGTCACCTTTGCAAGGACACGTTCTCGCGCAGTGACATTCTCAAGCGCCACTTCCAGAAGTGCTCGATACGCCGCGGCAACCCGACCGGTCAGAACCATCTGGCAAACTCCCAAGCTCACCTGAGGAAGAATCGCTCTGCTCAGGGGTCAGGTGATTACAGCCATCTCACAGCTGTGAATGCGCCCCCGCCATCATATTCGAACGGTGGCTACACCAACAGCATGGTCGGCAATTCGGGCTTCACTACCGAGTCACCTGGCAGCTATGCCGAGAGCTTGCCCTCCATGTCGGCTCGCACCTCGCGTGCGAACAGCCTCATGCAGCCGCAGAGCAACGGTGTCAACGGTGTCAACGGTATCCACGACCCTCAGCGCAGGAGCATCTCGCACATCGATATCATGAACAACAACCGCATGAGCTTTGATGCGGGCGGTCATGACTTCAGAGGAAACAACAACGTCCCCGGTTCGCTCGCGGGGCAGATGCCCGGTTACACAATGAACCACAACGACCAGTTGAATCACCAGTTCAACAACTACCAAGCTGTGTCGGGCGCTAACATGCACTCAAATATGGCGATGAAGGCTGACGACAACAACACAGCCATGTTCAACCGCAACGGCATGACTGACATGAACAACACTCAGAACGGCCAGGGAAACGGCATGGGTTGGGATAATCCTTACCATCAAAATGGACAACAGGACGCATTCGGCATCTCGACCAGCATCGCTCAGGACCCTGTTGCTATAAAAGCCGAGACAGACATGAACCAGAACACTTTTAACCACGGCTCCGGTGAACCCACGCCGGACGGCATGTTCAGCAACCTTTATTCCAGTGCGTCGGCTTTCCCCAACACAGATACCGTGTTTGAATCTTGGGATTTGAGCTCTTCTGATCCTCTGCAGAATAAGGCTGAAGCTTTGATTGCTTTCTGCTTCCCCAGCGGGACGACCCTCCTTCAACCGAATGAGGCACAAGCACTCGACGTCCTGAGGAAAGCCTCAAGGCTGGAGAACATGAAGTCCTTTTTGGAAGGGTTCAAGAACTTTCAGGAACATTGGCCGCTCATTCACATGCCGACCTTCAACCCGGTCGAGGCTGGCAACGGTCTCCTTCTCACAATCATTTGCATAGGCGCGGTTTACTCAAAGGATGAAAATATTTTGCAGGTTAGGGCGCTCATGGAACTGGTCAAGTCTGCCATTCAACGATCTTTCCGTGTCTGGAGCCTTGTCGATGGCCCGAACCAAAACGCTTCCCCTACCCCGAACGCGACGACCGACATCGAGGAACTCCAGGCACTTGTCTTGCTTACCATGGCGTTCTTGTGGCACGGAACTCAAGAGCAGCGACAGAAGGCCAGAGAAGATTTCCCCAAGGTAGCGCTGGTCATGCGTCAACTCGAACTGCTCACTCCCGTCAGGCAAGGCCAGGAAGGTTTCAGCATCTTGCATCACGTTGGTGCTGAGGCTGAGCCTGGCCACCTGCAACAGTGGAAGTGGGAGAGCTGGGTCATGCAGGAGAAGAGGTCGAGGGTCATGTACATGGCCTTCCTTCTTGACTCTGCCCTGGTCATGTTCTGCAACGCTCGCGCGCAGTTCGACGTCTTCGAGATTCGGCTTCCACTGCCGTCCGACGATGCAGCTTGGGAGGCTCGCAATGCGAGCGAGTGTGCTGATGCGCTGGGTCTTCACGGCCGTGCTATGCAAGAGAGGAAGAACGTCACAGGCAGCCGCCAACTCAAGCAGTACAACATCGCAGAGGTGCTGAGGATACTGGTACAGTCAAACAGCGAGCTTCCGGTTCGTTCTACCAACATCTACTCCAAGTTCATCCTCATTCATGCCCTGCATGTCCACATGTGGAGCGCTCTCCGCCAAGCTGCCCAGCACGCAACTCCCCCCTCCAGCATTTTGATGAACAGCCTGCCTTCCAGTGGCTCCAGTACCCCGTCTCAATCCGAGTTCAGTGGTCTCGACTCTGGAAGCAGTAGCGCCAGCGCCAGCGGCACAGTTACCCCTGTCGATAGCATGGCTGCCCAGAACGCTCAGCAGGCTCTCAAGATCGTCAGCAATGCGCTCGAGAAATGGAAGCGAAGCTGGGAATCCGATGTGGAGAGGCAATACGGTCCGCACGCACCCCCGCGCCAGGGTTATTGCAGGGATGGCATCCACTACTATTGGCTCGCCAACACGATCTTACGTCGCCGCAGCAACGACTGGCTCAAGATGCAGGCGGACCAGCGCTTCCAGCATACAATCTACGTCCTCAAGCAGATCAAGAACTGGGTCTACTCGGAACAGTACAAGATTGGCCAAGAACCAGGCGCGGTGAGCGACATGGACAACAATTACGGTCTGGAAGATCTACTGTCGGACATGAAACTCCTGTTTGCACCTGTCGACAAGCAACGCACGACCTCCCCTCAGAGAATTATTACGAATGGAACGGCGCCCAACCGTGCAAGCTTCTAATGAGAACACCGCTGTATTCCGTGTCGCTTGATGCGACAGCCACGGCAACGATGACGAGTACGCGAGGAAGCCAGCCTGCAGATCAAGAACCATTACGACCGCATATTGCCTTTGAAGACCACTTTTATAGAAGAGACCGGCGTTTTTTGTGTGCCTAGCCACGTTCCAGATGTTCTTTGGGCGCTTTGAAAAGTCTTTACTTGTTCTTCTTATAATTTCCTTTTCGAAAACCAAAAAAGTTTATAGACCGGGACGGGCCCCTGATGGGCCGGTCCTCCGTTATGGTCATTCAGCATCTTCAGCGGCGCAGGCGGATTTTCTCTTTCCATCGCACTTTGAACGGGCGTTTTGCTCACGGATCTGTCTTCTTCCTTTGAACAGGAGTCGAGGGGTGTGGAACTGCGCGTCGTCTTTCGTGCCATATGCATGGAGCTGTTTCTCTATTCTCACGTCTCCCATTCCTACGTTTACCTGTCGTTGCACAAAGTTTCCGATTGTTTCCTTGCAAAGAGAAAGAAAGCATTATAGAGCGGCGCGTGTTGATATGGCCAAAAACACTGCTACGAGTTCAGAGAACGAAGGCTTTATGACAAGACAAAAGAAACAGGGAAAGTCGCTGTCTGGTTTTTCCTTTTCTTCTTCATCGGCGAAGCTCTTCCTGGAAATTTGGTTTCTGCCCGTTTCATTCTCAACCGTCGCTTTTTCTCCCTTGGGTCAGACTGATTGATGCAAGTTGAGAATAGAAGTAGAACCCAAACGAAGACTGTCGCGCAGATGCATCTGGTGGGCTGGGCTTCTTGCCAGAGAATGAGAGCTCAGACGCTCTAGGTTAGAATTGTTAAGGGTAGCAGGAAAAATAAAACGTTCAGCTGATATGGCGAGTTCATGTTCTATGATATTACTTGGGCTGATGGCCATCCGACACTGCTATGCTACGTGTGGACCAACAGGAAGGCTGAGGCACTCGTGCCGGTCTTAATACAAGCAGCCCTGTCGAAACCACCATCTCTCCATACGCGGCTCGATTAATACATGAAGGGACTGTTGCAATGAGGCAGACACGGGCCTGGAGCGGTGCGTGCTTCCGGTATGCCAATGGCAAAAATGTGCATAGCGCCGCGCGAACGAATACGTATATCTCATATGTAACAGTAAAGGCGCCACTACTGACGCCAAAGGTCTCTTCGCTTGTCCATGCAAAAAGAAATCATTCCCAAAAATAGGTCACCGGTTGAATAGTCAGCCGGCATCTGCCTTCCTTGCGTCTTGCGACTATTGAAAGCTGACCGAGTCACAGTATGCCCTCCTCAGCTCAGATTCGCTACTATCGGGGCAGCCGACAATCGTCTTAGTCTTTCGGAGTATTCCGGCACTCTTGTCCTTTGGCGCTGCTTCTCGAGATCGAGCTCGTCGTGGTTAACGACGCGGTACTCGAAACTGTAGCCTGGGTGCATGACGGTGAGAATGACAACGGCGAGCGAGCAGAGGCTGTTGGGGCCATCGGTTAGCGTTTTTTGTTATTGCGGATTACAAAGTTTTCAACCTTCCTCCAACCGGTCTCCCCCGTGATCTTACACCTGTATTCTGGGAATCCAAACCCTACAGGCACCCCCGGACGTTTTCCCCTACTGCTCACGGAGAAAGGAAGGACGATATATCTCACACTGAGTACTTCTAGGAGGGGTACACACTCTTGCACTCCACTGTAGTGTTGAAATGTGTTGTGGAATAGGCGGCAGAAAGGAAGGCTAGCCCGGCCACCATCATGTGGTCGCCAATATCGAGTTGTGACATGTTGCCATTCGCCGTTGCGGGGGTTCCGCCACCAGCGGCCTGCAGGACGAGTGACATCAGGTCACATATGATGAAGATGTAGGTATAGTACCAAGCTGGGAAACGAGAGAGTGGCAGGCCTGTTGCGAGAACGCTTTTGGCATATTTCGTTAGTATTTGCAGACACATGGAAGGATCTATTCACAAAAGTTTGAGCATAAGGTACACGGCTGCAGCTAGGAAGATGGGAGCTAACGTGAGAGTGCAAATTTGCAGGTTGAAGCAGGCTTCCAGTGTAAAATCCATCAGAACCTTGTCTTCGTGGATACCTTTAGGCAAAATTTCGATATCAACGGCTAAATGGGGTGTGAAGAAACTTGAGCGACCACCTTTAGGAGTTAGGCTATACTTTGGCAGTACAGTTAACACCATTTAATGACCAATAGAATGCTTTGATCAGCTGGACCGGGACGTTGATCTTTGGATGGATCCGATGGAGTGTCGAGTTTCCTAAGCTGACGGGGAAAAGTGGAAACGGAGTAATGGAAACAAGACGTCTGGTAATAGATCAAGAATACAACTTATTCGTTATATAAGGCATTATGAATACGGAATTCCCAAGTCCGCTTAGGCCAAATTGGTGCGGACAGATGTTGCTCCAGCAAGACTTCTTGTATCACCCCGAGCATGTATCATGCTGATGCAGCAGCCTATTGCGTAGACAGTTGGCTTCCACAACTCCACTCAGTGCTTGGCGTTCGAGGCATCGCACGCCTACTTGTAACTAGACATTGTCATCACAAAAGAAAGCCGAGATAATTCGTAGGCTAGTAATTCTCCGCCCTCTTCGAAATAGGAAAAGAGTACGCCGCCAAGGATGAATATAGTAGTATATTTTGCGCGCTCCGGACATCGATCATGGTGTCAATGTCGAACTGGAAGATGTATCGAGATTTCCTCCGATACCATTTGGATGAGGACTGCAGCTAGCCGTAGGCTGTCGGACGAAAGTGTGCCCGTCTTCCAGCCGCGTCCGCGAGCGGTGGATGATGGCGGCTGTTGAGCCTCCGTAACACTCTGAGACGTTGCTGTGGTGTGACCATTTCAGTAAAAAAATATATATATATATAAAAAGGCCGTCGTGGGGGTGAGTTCTGAGCAGGGCTTATTTTGTCACGGCGCCTCTGCAGATGAGTTTAATAGGGGTGAAAAGGACCTCACCTGCGCAGAGACCATGGTCGTCGAAACCTGACAGCATCAATAATTGCGTGAGTGTTCATTTCTGGTATGGAGTCTTTGGCAGGTATGATCGATAAGGTTGCGACGTTGTCATCACCCAGCCTTTACGTCCTCGCAGCTCATTGGCGCCTAACGTTAGATATGCATCTGGTTCAGCCTACCGGCATTTCCCTTCGACAACTGCGTGGCGCCAAATGATTGCGGCCGAAACGGAGTAACATGTATGCGAGACTTCGTCCATACTGGAAGCTAGCCTGGATTAGCCCGATACGTGCGTTTCCAGAGGCGTTTAGCCACTACGAAGATGATTACATGAACTTCAAAACTCCAAAGTTTAAGTCCGACACCTTGCAGAACTTACGAGGTTGAGAACCGGTAGGGTTTAACGCAAGAACATCACAATGTTGCGACGATGTAAGGCTCTTGTACAGGTAGCAAGCTGTCTACCATGCGCCCGGCGTGAACGGATATGACAGGGTTATCAGCTTAAGTTGGAATCATATATCCTGAAGACGCTCGCACGTAAGCATCCCTGCTTTTCTCGCCTTTGAACGATCGGACTACCAGACCTATACACGCTCTTTTTGTCCAGGTCTTTCGAATGTAAGGACGGTCCATAAGATATGCACCGGCGCCCCCATAAACTACTCCCCGAATGCCCACCACGAACAGTGTCCTCATCGAACCACTTCAATACTCTTAGCCGCTGCAGTTTTGCCAATTGACTTGCAAGTGACGTAAGGATAAGGTGTCTCCTCTTACGGCTAGTGGGAGGTTGAAGTTGCGTCCCAGCTCTGCTGCGAGCTCTCGTCCACAACGCCAGCCATTGGAATCCGTCGCAGGTCGCAGGTCGCAGGTCGCAGCTGCCTTCGACACGCCCTCGGTCGATGCTGACTGTCTAAACAACCCTGCCTTCACCGGCTTACAAATGATGGCAGCGGGAGGCTGTTAAGTCCGTTGGCAGATGCCGAGTCTTCTATGACTTCATCATTAACAAAGGGTGCGGCTGCCCGCTTCGGCCGTCGTAAACCACATTATTCCTTCGCCATGGCTTTCAACTACAAGAAGGTGCTCCTCGTTGGCGCCACCTCGGGCATTGGCGCTGGCCTGGCCGACAAGTTCGTGCAGGAGGGCGTCAAGGTGGTGGCCGTCGGGCGCAGGAAGGAGAATCTCGACGGCTTCGTGGCAAAGCACGACGGCGACATGGCCGCGTCCGTCGTCTTCGACATGACCGACCTGGCCGCCATGCCCAAGTTCGTCGACGACGTGACGGCGGCGCACCCGGACATCGACTGCGTCTTCCTGAACTCGGGCATCCAGCGCGGCATGAACTTCACCAAGCCGCACAAGGTGGACCTGGCCACGTTCGACCTGGAGCTGACGACCAACTACACCTCGTTCGTGCACCTGACCAAGCACCTGCTGCCCTTCCTGCAGAAGCAGCGTGGCCCGGCCAGCATCATCTACACCACCTCGGGGCTGGCGCTGGCCCCCATCAACTTCTGCCCCAACTACTGCGCAACCAAGGCAGCGCTGCACCACTTCGTGCTGGTGCTGCGCGAGCAGATGAAGGACGGCGGTTTCGCCAACCTCAAGGTCGTCGAGATCCTCCCGCCGGCGGTGCAGACGGAGCTGCACGATGCTGACAAGCAGCCGTATATCGAGAACGGGCGCCAGCTGGGCATGCCGCTGGCCGACTTCATCGCCGAGACATGGGCCGGCTTGACGGGTGGGAAGGACCAGGTTCCGGTGGGCTCGTCGAAGGCGAGTTTCGAGAGCTGGGAACAGGAGCGGCAGAAGGCCTTCCTCGCGACCAACCAGCACATGACGGGGCTGCTCCAGGGCTTCTACGCCCACTGACGGGAACTAGCCGACGGCGCACGGTACCCCCTGTACGTAGCACATAGCATACATGACTTCGCAATTACGAGCTGCGGCGGCGGCGGGCGGCGAGCCCGGAGGTACATAGCTTCCGCGCTCGTTCTCGTGCACAGCCCCAGTTGGGCGCATTGAAACCGCCGCTGCTGTCTCTCCCTCGCTGCGCACACCCAACATCAACGACTTCAACAGCCCACGCACGACTCTTGCTCGCACCAGCTCAGGCCCGGCCATCTCCCACTACCTCCAAGACCCGCCCCGAAACTCCGACGCCCCGCATCGCGCCCCACCGCCAGCCATGGAGCAGTTCAGCGTTGCCATGATGAACCGCTCCGTGCGGAACATCAGGACAGTACGTCCCCCTCCGCCCGCCTGGTGCCGCCGCCGCCGCCGCCGCCGCCGCTGACCTTGCCCTGTCTAGGAGCTCGACTTCCTCTGCGATGCCGGCCACATCACCCTCGCCCAGTTCAACACCATCGTGTCGCAGCTACCCGACGCCGCCCCGAGCCGCGCCTCGTCCGTCGCGCCCGTTGCGTCGCCTCAGCCTACTCCCGCCCCCGCCGTCGCCGCGACGCCCGCCCTACCCGTCCGCAACAGCACTCCCGCGAACGCCGCCCCCTCGCAACCGCCCGCCCACAACGAGAAGGTCGGCTACTACGCCAGCAACCCCACCCCGCCCCCGCCCGCCTATGCCGCCGCGCCGCCCGCTCCCGCTGCTCTCTGCACCGCCACTGCTCTGTATGCCTACAGTCCTACTGATGCCGGAGATCTGGCTCTCCAGGCCAATGACCGTGTCCAGGTCACCGAGTACATGAACGGTACGAATCGCCCATCCATGTTGTGTCGGGCAAGAAGGTCAACTGACAAGCCTCGCAGCCGAGTGGTGGAAGGGCCGCAGCGAACGCACCGGCCAAGAGGGCATTTTCCCACGCTCCTACGTGCGCGTCGAGGACTCCAAGATGCCTGCAGCCGGTCCCACGCCTGCCCAGCAGAGCATGGGCTACGGCAACATGCCCATGGCCGTCTCCCAGGGCGGCGACCAGCAGAACGGCCAGCCGAGCAAGGGCGGAGAAATGGGCAAGAAGGTCGGCAAGAAGCTGGGAAATGCCGCCCTCTTCGGTGCTGGTGCCACCTTTGGCTCCAACATTGTCAACGGCATTATGTGAGCAGCAAGCACGCTGCTGTGGGTCGCTGTACCACTCACTGTGTCTATGCAAGTTGTTTACAAGCAAGAAGATGGAATCGGGCTACCTGGGCTGGGAACAACGGCGTTGAAAGAAAGGCGCGCGTATCTTTGTCATATTGCTTTTTTGGGGACTCTTAATATGCTGAGGCTGGAATCGCCATTGATTCTTCAGGTAGGAGAATTTCGACTTTTGAATACCATCCCTACAGCTGCTCGCCAATGGCTGCTTTTACACTTGTGATCGCCGTCTGCTAACTGGGACTCATCATTTGGCTGCCAACATCTTATTTATCATGCCAACCTTCAGCCCGTTGCTTCCCTGTCTCCGCTCGTCAATATGGCAAAACGTTTGCAAAGCGACACCCCATCTCCTGCACAGTCGCCATCCCTTGTCCAACAATCTCAACACAGGGCAGGCTGCCGTGCGACTCTCCTCCGTCGGAAGCTTGACGTATCCTTGTTTCCGTGGCCCGTCTCTTCGCCGCATTTCCATGAGCAGACATATTTTCCTTCTGCTTCTCTTTCAGTCAGCCCGCACTAGGTCTTTTGATTTATTGCTACGCACGAAGCAAAGCGCTCGCTCGTTCCGACCGCCCCTGTCCGCTCGGAAGTCAGAAAAGGCAAGACTACTTCGCCGAGGGTTTACGGCGCGCGCCAAAGGCGGCTATGCCACGACTTTCGAGAACCACCTCACAGGTGAAACCCAAACGCCCACAGTAATAAATGTGAGGGGCAAGGACCTGGTGCTTTCTCGTTCGCTTCTGTCTTGAGAAGCGATTGGAAGTTGGCTATGGGCATGGTCTAGGGGCGACCACGTTCTAACTGTTGTATCGGTGCATCGGAGTTGAGGACGATTCGGGGCTCCAGCTCGCCGCTGCGTCGTCTTGGCCTTGCCTAGTAGGTTGGGTTGTGTCGTGACGCGCTTTGGGGTTGTTGGCGGGCGGCTAAGAGACGCTTTCCTCAATAGCCCGGCCCCGCGAACGGAGGCCGCTCTTTGAGGGCTCTCGCGCTAAACAAGGGGATCGAGGCTGTGGCATTACTATTATTGGACAGTGGTAGTTGGCAAGTGTGTTGGTTCGGTCCGCTTAGCACTGCAATGTCCCGTCCGGAGAAACATTTGAAGCCAGTGCTTGAACGCCGTTGAACTCATGGCACACTTGTAGCCTGACTGACGCTTCATCAGCCCCCTCTCTAGTAGGCACACGTACTCTCTCTTACAACACTTCCACTGATGATCGCGTCTTGTCTCGGAGGCTTGGTCTAAGCTCGTCAACACAGCCGACGTCGCGATGTTCAGGAAGACATAGTGGAACGAGCATGCGGAGATTGAGGATGGTATATGAGGGAGAAATGCCGGTGGCGACATTGTTGTCTGGGACTGGTTGGTTTCGCGACGACGGTCCTGGACGACGGGGCTGTCTTCGGATGGATCGGCTCAAACATATGGCCCACCTAGAGCATCATAGACCCGAGGGACTGGGTTACAGAAAGGCGGTCAGTCATCTACGTTAAGGACCAAAATCCTATCGTGCTAGATCCACAGTTGAGAGAGGTTGGGAGCAGCCAGCAAGATTGGTCAGAGCCGTAGGTGTAAGATTCTCGATTGCATGCCTGACTAGTGCAGGCCTTTCCCCCAATCTAGCCATTTACCACTAAACCAAGTAACATGATTTCCTGGGTTCTAGCTGGCTAAACTCCCGCATTCATACGCTAGTAGACGAACGGCAGAAGGTGCGTTCAACATGATAAAATCCACACATCAATTTTCCAGAACCAAAAGTCGAGCGAGTACTGACTGCGTGAGCAAGCATCTCGTTCGCCAGCACTATGCTGGAGCCCGGCCGGACTCGGCGGCTGACCACAGAGTGCGTATGAGATCGTTCCAGGAAATTAGGGCTCTCGCCCGCGTCATTCTCTTGTCCCACCGTCTTAGGTAACAAGTGCCAGCAGCGCATGCGTGATGCTCCGAGGATCGAGTTGACGGGCTGCTAGCTGATAACGGGCGAGCTTTCGCCCCTGCCAAACTGAGCAAGCCGCCCTCTTGCGTTCTTTCCCAGCACTTCCGATAGCTCTAGAGCGAACAGAGCATGTCGTGGAACGCTCGGCTGTCTCCCACGTTTGATCGCCGGTGGTGCAAACCCGGGCCCGTATGACGTGCGGAGCATCGCCGCCAGCAACAAAATAGCGCTCGACATGCGATGGCTCTTTCCAGGCAAGTGCAAGTACGGGGAATACATTGAGATGATGGGTGGCTTCGAATGCTCCTGGATGGCCTCCTGGATGGCCTTTTCCAGAGTCAAGGGTATCTGAAAAGAAGTCTTTGAACTGAAAAGGGAAAGAAACCCCTGGGTAGGGCTGTCGATACGAAGACATGAACAATGGACGGATCAACCGCGGGTGTGCGGCCGCTGAACCTGCTGCTGGTTGCTGAAGCGCGAGCGCTCGTGCCGGCGGTCGAGCCAGCTGCGCACATCGTCCCACCGCCGGCAGGTGCGAGGCTGTACGGTAAGCTCTGCGCCGGTGGCGCTGGTGCGAGGGAGCACAGGCACGACGGTCAGGTCGGCAGAGCACTGGAGCTCTTGCCGCAAGTGATCAATGCAGTAGTCTGTTGAGGTTCCTCAGGTCAGCGAACACGAGCGTTTGCTTAAGGTGAGATGATGTCTCGAGGGACAGTGGAACATACCCAACGGCGCGCGGTCGGACCGCGTGGCCTTCTGCCATCCAAGACCGTCTTGGGGGCCATGCTCACGGTAAAAGTCATCGTCGAGAGCCAGGCGGATGGCGTTGAGGCACTCCAGGCTGTGGACCACGCTCAGCTCGCCGTAGAGGGTACCGACAGTGGAGGATTTCTCGGCGGCATGGGTCGCCAAAGATGCGTGGACGTAAGGGGTGGCTTCCTCGTCGGAGAGGGGGAACTTGGAGCCACTGAGGAGGCTCTTCCAGGCGCGATCGAGGCCAGGGGTGGTGCGTGGGTCACCGACGTACGCAGGCTTGGTGGAGTTGAGGGCGGCGGCACGGTAGAGCTCGCCGGTGGTGGTGTTGTACTCGAGAGCGCCAGTGAAGTTGCGCTGCTCGTAACGAATGTGGGCGCGGGCATCGCGTGATGAGGCTGAGATGGAGAAGGGGTCCAGGCGGAGAGGCACCACGGGGCACTGGGCGTTGGAGTAGAAGAAGACGGCCAGGGCGGCGAAGAAGATGTTGGAGCAGAAGAGGGCAAAAATGAGAACGTGCTGGAAGGACTGGGTGGAGAGCGAGGGCGCGGAACACTCGGGCGCGGGCTCCCAGACATGGGCAGGGCGGGCTTCCTCCATCCTCTTCTCGTCGAGGACGGCGGGCAGACGGGATGCAGCAGCCATGGTGCGCGTGTGGGTATGGTGGTGGAGGGAAGGGAGCGGCGGCGGCGGCGGCGGAGTGGGATGGAGCGGGCGAGTCGACAGGACTGCAGGCCGGCTTGGACGTCTTACGAGAGGGTTATACATGCGCGCCAGGGCGGCGCCGAGCTTTGGGGCTTTATCGTCACGGTGTCTCCGCAGGGCCCAGGCATACGAGGGCGCAGTGGGAGTCCCATCATTCCAGCAAGCGCGCCGTGGCTGGGCGCAGCGCAACTGCCCGCCGCGCCCGACAAGCTTATACGAGCGCGCCCGCACGCACCCCCTTTTTTGCCGCATGCGGTAGTCGCGACGCCGCTTGGACACCGCTGCCTTTTTTGCGCCAGCGGAGCGCCGGCTGACGTGCGAGCCCCCAAGCCCTGCACGTGGGCGCGCGCCGCCCAAGCCCAACACCACGCGCGGAGCCCAGCGCCGGGCAGCACGGGTTGTGAAAGCCGGCGACAGCGAGCGCTGCTGCTCCGCCAGTCGCTTCGTGAGTCGCTTCGTCAGTCGCTCCATGCGTCGATCTGCTCGCCAGCGGCGGCCCGCGTGCAGCGAGATCAGTCAGATCAGGCAGCTCCATGCGCGACTCGCCGTCGCCGTGCCTCCTCCGCACGGAAATTTCAAAGTCCAACGCCCTGCGCCGGTCCCTGCGCCGCAGTATTTTTAGACGAGTTGGAGGCTGGCTGGATGCCGCGGCGGGGTGGTGCCAAGAGACCGGCGGCGCTGCCACCAGTCGCCCTTGCGCCCTCGACCTCGACCTCGACCTCGCATCATCTCACTAGATGTCACTAATCCACAGGTGCTGTAACCATCGCTTTCCGATTGTCGGACAGCATCAGATGTTCCTGCGGCTGCTGTAGCTGCGGCCGGTTGCATGGTCCAGCGTGTTGTCCCACTTGCCGCAGCTCTGCTCGCACAAGCTCCGCCAATCCTGACCGCAGGATTTGTCCGCCGTCGCATTGACAGGAAACCGCCAAGAACCGTGCCCTCGTAGCCGAAAGGATTCGCCGACCCTGGCCTCCAGCTCGTCGCCGTCTTGTGCGCTGCCCGCTGGAAGCTTGTTACTCCTCTGCGCGCACAGCCGGCAACGCTACATCGGGTCTGCTCCCCTCCGTCCTGCCTAGACACGGCACGCATATTACGATCCACACCCGCCGTTGGGCCAGCCCTACAGTACATGCACTCTCCAATGGTGCGTACCGGCGCTTCGCCATTTTACCGCTTTCGTTTGCACCAGCGCTTTTTATTTTTTATTTCCTGACGATAGCGTGGGCATGCAGAAAAGCCTATCGACCAAGCTCGGTGGTTCCTTTTCCATCTCGTGGTCAAAGCCCCTTTCCCGTGGTAGGTAGTCTCGGCATTTGCGCCGCCCGGTTCCACGAGCAACACAGAAAGCTTGGCTTGGAGCTTCGCATTCGAGGCGCGTGTCACATGGTACATTTCGTGTCTTACAATGGGCTGATTCTCATCATTGACGCCTTTCGACTGAGAAACCTTCCTCGTGTGGCTGGCCATTGCAGAGAGCCTCAACAGCATTGGACTCGCGGACATATGTGTGTGTATGTACGTACAGTTACGGCCGACATTAGAAATTGGCGGGTCGATGCTCTTGTCCCGTCGTCTGTGTTACGCCCTTGTCGTATTTCTCCACCTACCTACGTCCTGATCAACATGCCCACTACCGCTCGGCTGCTGCCTCGTAGATTGTCCACGCGACTTCGAAGTGACAATCCAAACACAAATTCCGGCAATTGGTAAGCCTTCTTACTTGCGAACTTTCCTAGGCACCTTTTTGCCATTTTTAGAACAAACATACTTCCGTGGCACTGGCCATGACGGGAAAAAAGTGGGCATGGCTAAAGAACTCTCTCCCAATAATGGCTCGATTGGAAACAACGGAGGCTATTAGTCTACACTACCACGGCCGATGAACATGTTGACTACTGGCGATCATCATCACCGCCCACCGGAGACCACGACCGTATCTGTCCAGGCCGGCTCTAAAGAACGACGATGATGATGCAAGTCGCGGCGGTTCACATGCGCTATAATACGATAGTGACTGGAGATTTGCGGTGCTGGTGGCGCCCGATGTGGAGAGCGGCAGAAACCGAAGGCGTAGCTGAAGAGGTGTTCTGGCAGCCTACTGTCTGCCAAGGCTGGAGAGGGGAGATTGATTGGCGTCGGGGCGTCCAGTCAAACAGCAACGGATTCCGTCACCCTCCCATCACTCACATCGCTATAGCTGGCTAGGGCAAACGGGAGAAGCAGAGGTTTTTTTCTCCGCGCTCGGAAATTTGGTCAGCCTCGCAACCACCAGTGCCTTTTCTAAGTGTTCTCAGCCCACGTTGCACCATCCATCTGCCCCACGGCGGATAAGGCTCTGCAAGTCTCTTTTACATCAGGCCATCGAATATTCCCAACTTTCCAGTCACAGTTTTCGAAAGGCATGTTCGATCATTGTTATACACCCTAGCTTAAACCTAGTTCTGCATATGATGCGGCTATCTTTTCCTGGAAACATTTCCCGATAGGTAGGATCTTTTACTACCTGCTAATAACCTCAGCAAACTCGGTGACACCAACACTCGTTTATAGTCGATCGGGCGAGCATGTTTTATCAACAATAGAGGCCTCGCATGAGAAGTAGTTCCACTGCTGACCCTTGCCACTTCCGGCTGCTCTAGGAAAACCGCCCCCCACCCACCAAAAAAAAAATACTAGCCTGACGCTCTAATCGTTATCATTGGTCGCATCGCCACGCGTAATGATCTTCTCATCTAGTCAGTGGCCTGAACGCTGGCATTGCGTTCCACCACGACCATTGCCAGCTAAGCTCTAGCACTCCACCAGATCAGCCGTGAGAACGAAGTGTTATGAAAAAGACAATCAAAAGGCAAAAGAACTAGCTTATTCCGTTACCGGGAATCGAACCCGGGCCGCTCCGGCTCGCGAAATCAACGTGAAAGCGGAGAATCCTAACCCCTAGACCATAACGGAATTGGTTGGTTATGAGTAAGCAATTTCTGCTTGTAGATTATATACTACAAATTTTTGGTGAAGGTAAATTGGGAACAGGATGGGCTTACTAAGTATGTGCCGCCATACGGAGCTTTTGCATAGATTGATCAAGGCTCTGCAACGGATTAGAGGTTTAATCTCTTGCACAGATGTTGCTTTCACACCGATATGGAAGCTGCGTCTGCAAACGCTTCAATTGCCGCTCACCGTAGCATGGCTCCTCTGGTTGAATGCCCGAATAAGCCGGGGTCGGGTGCGGCTGGTATGGCGGGGGAATGTGGAGAGCGGCACGCTCTACCTAGGCGCAAATGATGACGACCAGATCCAGGTGCCGCTCACTGTTGCTGAACTACCGAGGCTTCTACCATGGGCGGAAACGGGATGCGGCAGACGAGGCGACGGTGGCATGGCGGACAGGTTGGGGATGGCGGAGAGGGGTTTGGCGGGTAGCAAGCGAGCCCCGAGAGGCCATAGGCCATGGCAAACCCCGGCCGGGCAAACCACAGGACGACAGCCGGCACGCAGCAATAATCAACGGTGAAAAGCTATGGAAGACCGTTGAACTGGCCGACGTCATCGCGCATGCAGCCGCCGGTCGACGTGCAGCCGGGTCGGCCTGGCTGCAGTGTTATTAGTTTCGGCACGGTGCCCATTGCCGGGCTGAGTGGCCAGGAGGGAGGGGGCGGGGTGCTGGCAGCGAGTGGGCCGTGGGCCGGCATTTCCGAGCACGGATGGGGTCCACTGCCTTCCCCGTGGGGAACAACGTGCAGCCCAACTACATACCGCCCGGCTTCTGCTCCACCCTCCCTCCGACGCGTATCTCGGCGTTACCGGCAGACGTGCTGCAATACACAAATATCGACCGCACGCTCGAGCTCGACCTCTCTAGCACCAATGGTCTCCCCAATGGCCTCCATCGACGACAAGCCTGCGCCTGTCGAGCACCACGAGACGATGAAGGATGAAGGCTTCCATGACGCCGCCGAGCGCGGCCATCTGGCTACCGACAGGTGCGTCCTTCCCATTCCGCCCTCGTCCCGCTTTACTGACCTCTCGTCCAGATACGGCAACGCCCTCGTTACCTTCGATCCCAAGGCCGAGGCCCGCTTGAGGTGGAAGCTTGACCTTTACATCGTCCCAACCGTCGCGCTTCTATACCTGTTCTGCTTCATCGACCGCGCCAACATCGGGTAACTCACCTGCGCCCCCTCACAGCAAAACGCACTTTCTAAACTGTGTTCCAGCAATGCACGCCTGGCAGGTCTCGAGAAGGATCTCGGCCTGGAGGGCTACGATTACAACCGCCTGTTGACCATTTTCTACATCTCCTACATCCTCTTCGAGATCCCCTCCAACATGTGCTGCAAGTGGGTCGGCCCCGGCTGGTTCATTCCCAGCACCTCGCTCGGCTTTGGCATCTGTTCCGTATGCACTGCATTTGTCGACGACATCCACAGCGCCTCGGGCGTGCGTTTCTTGCTGGGCGTGTTTGAGGCTGGCATGCTGCCGGGTATAGCCTACTATCTTTCTCGTTGGTATCGTCGCAGCGAGCTGGCTTTTCGCCTGTCTCTGGTGTGTCAGGTCCGTCTTCGCATTGCCCCAATTCGCTGACATTGCTCTAGTACATCGTAATGGCTCCTCTCGCCGGTGCTTTCGGAGGCCTGTTGGCCTCTGCCATTCTCAAGCTTGACCACTTCGGCGGCCTCCACCAATGGCGCATGATCTTCGCCATTGAAGGCATCATTACCATCGGCCTGGCTTTGATCTCCTTCGTCACTCTTACTGATCGCCCACAGACGGCCCGATGGCTCACTCAGGAGGAAAAGGACCTGGCCATTGCCCGCGTCAAATCAGAGCGCGTGGGTGCTACTGAGGTGCTCGAGAAAATGGATACCAAGAAGATCCTTCGTGGTATCTTCAGCCCCATCACTCTGTCCACTTCTTTCATCTTCCTCCTCAACAACATCACCGTCCAAGGTCTGGCCTTCTTCCTACCCACAATCGTCAAGACCATCTATCCATTAGATTCGGTCATTTCTCAACAGTTGCACACCGTCCCACCTTATATTGTCGGCGCCTTCTTCACCGTTTTTTTCCCTTTCTTGAGCTGGCGCTTTGATAAGCGCAACATCTTCTTCATCTGCTCTGCCCCCTTCATGATGGTCGGCTATGTCATGTTCCTGGCCACTTATACCGCGAGGGTCCGCTACGGTGCCACCTTTCTCATAGCCAGCGGTGCATTCGCCTTTGGCGCTCTCTGCAATGCTCAGGTCTCTGCCAACGTCGTTTCGGACACGGCCCGCTCTGCTGCCATCGGCACGAACGTTATGCTTGGAAACATTGGTGGGCTGATAAGCACTTGGAGCTTCCTCAAAACCGATGCTCCGGACTATCCTATCGGAAACGGCCTCAATCTCGCAACTTCAAGCACAATTTTTATCTTGTCCATCATCTTGTTGCTCTGGATGGTTACGGATAATAAGAGAAGAGACCACCGTGATGTCGATTCCGAACTTGCTGGTATGGATCAAAGAACAATCCAAGACTTGGACTGGCGTCATCCGGCCTTTAGGTGGAGGCCATAAAGTACAGCGTACCCACCAATCAATTCAATCAATTCAAGCCATCTAAAGTAGCAGATTGTAGGTAAAATAGTGACGACTTAACTTGATTGTGCTCGGGGTCGGTTTAAACTGTTTGATACCAGTTTCAACCAGTTATTTGGGTCACGATTCTTGGCATAGTGTTAAACCTACTACTGCCCTTACTATTACTGCCGCTGCCGCCGCTGCCGTCTGCCAGTATCACGATTCTTAGCATAGTGTTAAACCTGCTACCCTTACTATTACTACCGCTACCGCCGCCGTGTTTCCGCGCCTTGCCCGAATAGGATTGGCGCCGGGGCGGAATAATAATAAATCTTAACACTATAAAATTATTATATAATTCTATCTATTATAACGTCTTTATAAAATAACTAGTTTAACGTATATTCTTTTTAGAAATACGTTTTTTATAGTTTAATAAGGCTTCTTATTATTCTTATAATATATTTTAACGTTAAGTAAACTAAATTAATTATCTTTTTAAAAGATACGAATTAATTTATAAGTTATATACTAGAATTAGAATAAATAGAAAAATATCTGCGCTTAAATTATAAGGCTTACTAAAATTAGTTAAATTTATAGCGGCTAAGATATTAACGAAGAAAAAAACGTTAGATAAATATTTAAAATAATCGGTTATACGTTATAGTAGATAAAAGATAAGATAAAAGACTAATAATAAAAAGATTAAAGAGAAAAGATAGTAGTTAGTTATTATTATTTTATACTATCTAAAGAAAGTACTTTTATATTATAGTAGGCGCCGGCCGATAGTTATAGTCTTAGAGCGTAGACCGAGCTTCTACCGCTTCTACTTCTTAAGTCTAAAGATCTTACTCTATTAAATACGGCCGAATTCTCTACTACTATAATATTAAAAGTTTTTTTTTAGATACTATAGAAATTTAATATAAAAAGTACTTAAATTATATATTTAAAACCCTTTTATAAAGAGATAATATTATAATAATTTAAAAAAACTAAGTAATTTAGTAATATATTCTATTTAAATACTCTACTTAATATCTTAGAATTTTCTTTTAAAGAATTAAAGTCGCTATAGTATTTAAAAGAAATTAGATATTTTAGTAGAATATTCTACTAGAATTTCCTACTTTATATTCTAGAAATTCTTATAAAGTAATATAGTTATAGTATTTTTTTTAAAATTAGATATTTTAATAAATTATATTTATTAAAATATCTTACTTTATTTTATATTTATTAATATACCTAGTTTTACTAGTTTTAGAATTTATAAGAAAATACTTAAAATTTTATACTTAAAAGTAAGATATTTAGATAGATTTTATAAAAACTAGTATAGTAGTAGTAATACTACGATTTTTCTAGAATATTACGAAGGTTTCTTATTAGAGAAAAAAGATTCTATTAGTCTCTACTCTAGTAGGTCGAGATCTAGTCGTTCCGGTTAGAAAAGAGTAGAAAAGAATATATATCGACTAAAGAACTATAAATTCCGCGAATAAGAGTAACGTACGAATACGCCTATAAATACGTCTACGGACTTAGTAGAACCCGTAGCCGAATAGAGTATACTAGTATCTATAAAGAAAAAGATTACCTAGAACCGCCTATCTAGGGCCTAGAGCCCTATAGCTAACGCCTAGAATTAGTAGTAGAAAGCCTTTCTAAGTATCTACTAGACTTCTTTTAGATTCGCGGGGTTACGTAAATATTCGAGCGCGTTTTTCGTATTTTTTATAATAAATAAAACCTCGCTAACTTCGAAATAGCGCCCGACTACCCCTAGGCTACCCGGCGATTTTTAAAAAAATTACTATTTTTCGCCTTTTCTACCTATTCTTTCTTCTCTTTTTCTTACTATTTCCTACCCTCTACTTTCTAACGCCTTTCCTACTATCCTTCTACCCCTAAGGGGGTACGCCCGTTCCGGCGTACCGTTATACGCACTTCTAAGACCTCTTCTATTAAGAAAAATCCCGAAATTCTCTTACGTAGCGCGCCGCGGCGCCGTGTCTAATAGCTAGCGGCTAAAGAGAGACGTAAAACTAAATAAATAAAATAAATAAATAAATAACTATAAATTCCGATTTAAATATATAAACTTTCGTAATATCTTTCTTAGACTAAGTTCTTTCTAGGCTAATCTTTAAAGCTTCTACTACCTCCTACTATACCCCCGTTATACTAGGTATTTTAATAAGAGTATAGCTATTTTAGAAATTATTTTTAAAATACTAGTTATTTTAAT